CGCAGAGTAACCCATTTTTTTAAAAAAGTTTAGAACGACCACTAGACTCGACGGAAACAGTGACGTCACAGGTTTTTGTTTACTCTTTAGTACAAAAAAATGGCGGCGTCTATCGAAGAAAATTGTGTTCCCATTCAAAAGTTTAACGCGTTCTAAATCTAATTTTCTGTCGGTCATAACTTTAACAATACGTCCGTTTGCTGTATTTATTACGTTCCAACACTTATATCAATTTTAAACTGTCTTTTTTCATTTAGTTTTACAATAAATTTCTCTAGATCTAAAGATCAGCTGTCGAAGGAAAGTTATGAATCTAGCCTAGATCTAGATCTAGCCTAGATCTAGGTCACTAGACTCAATGTAAATTCTAGATCTAGACTTAATGTAAATTCTACATCTAGAATCTATTTCAGGCCTTAATACATCTAGAATCTATTTCAGGCCTTAATTATTTTATATAAATCTTTGTTTGGCTAATTTAAGATAAAATTTAATTTGAAAGTTACTAGATTCTACTACTAGACTTAGATCTAGATCTATGCGCGGAGACTCAAAAGTATAGTATAAAAATTCATTTGTGACGTCACGAGTAAATAGCTAAGTTGATAGCGTAGTCCGCTCTCATGTGGGTGGTACAGGTTCTAGACCAATATGTCAATGATCTTTTTTTTTCAATTTTTTTTTTTTTAGATGTGAATGATAAAGTTGCCTATCTGAACTTGGCAGGATACAGGGCAGGTGAAGTAGAGTTCATCTGTTTCTTTGTCCTAAGCATATGAAAGGATAGTGTGGTCAGAGACATGCTCGGCTGGAATCGTTTTTAAACGATAAAAACATGTTGTCTGAGACTTGGCGGGACACTGGGCAGGTGAAGTAGAGTTGAGTAGGTCACATGTGACGTCAGTATATGAAGGGATAGTCCGAAATCGGTGTTTTCGGTGTTTTTAAAAGATAAGAAACATATTTTTGAATGTGGGGTCTGTTTTTGTGACGATAAGCGACACTGCAGTAGCGTAGCGAGGAGGGGGGGCGGGAGGGGAGGCGGGGGGAGGTGGAGGGGGGGGGCGGGGGGACATAAGTTGGGGCGCCAAAATGGTTTGGAAAAATAAATTGAAAGGTTGAGGGGGGTTCAAATCGAAAGTTTGAGTGGGGGGGGGGGGGTGCACATCAAAAGTTTGAGGGGGGGTTGAAAATCGAAATCTTGGGGGGGGGGGGGGGTTAAAATCGAAAAGTTTGTCCCCGGGCGCCGGGAAGGCTCGCTATGCCTCTGAGTGACAGACGTGATGTTTTTTGATGGATGACCCCCGAAACCCACAGTTATCCAACGGATGACGGGTATTCTAGTATACTACTAAAAGTCAAGTTTGTTTACATGTTTGAATATTTATTTTTTTGTTTTTTTGTTTGTTTTTTTTGTTTGTTTGTTTGTTTGCCTGATCGACTATCTCGCATGGTTGCACTCATCGTGGAAAGCTGTAAAATAGTATGTAGGTAGAGAAAAAATTTTGTTTTAAGACAGACTGTTAATCACAAATTTATTTAAAGACGTTAATTAATTTATTGATTTATTCATTGTTAAATTAACCGTATTTTTTTAAAAATGTTAATACTTTGAATAAACTTTGTGGGGATAGTGACGTCCCTTGATGTGTTTACTTTTTTGGTACAATAAAAATGGCGGACTCCATCATAGACTTTGTGGCCCATTCAAAAGTTTAACGCGTTCTAAATCTAATTTTCTGTCGGTCATAACTTTAACAATACGTCCGTTTGCTGTATTTATTACGTTCCAACACTTATATCAATTTTAAACTGTCTTTTTTCATTTAGTTTTACAATAAATTTCTCTAGATCTAAAGATCAGCTGTCGAAGGAAAGTTATGAATCTAGCCTAGATCTAGATCTAGCCTAGATCTAGGTCACTAGACTCAATGTAAATTCTAGATCTAGACTTAATGTAAATTCTACATCTAAAATCTATTTCAGGCCTTAATACATCTAGAATCTATTTCAGGCCTTAATTATTTTATATAAATCTTTGTTTGGCTAATTTAAGATAAAATTTAATTTGAAAGTTACTAGATTCTACTACTAGACTTAGATCAAGATCTATGCGCGGAGACTCAAAAGTATAGTATAAAAATTCATTTGTGACGTCACGAGTAAATAGCTAAGTTGATAGCGTAGTCCGCTCTCATGTGGGTGGTACAGGTTCTAGACCTATATGTCAATGATCTTTTTTTTTCAATTTTTTTTTTTTTTTAGATGTGAAGCCTATCTGAACTTGGCAGGATACAGGGCAGGTGAAGTAGAGTTCATCTGTTTCTTTGTCCTAAGCATATGAAAGGATAGTGTGGTCAGAGACATGCTCGGCTGGAATCGTTTTTTAAACGATAAAAACATGTTGTCTGAGACTTGGCGGGACACTGGGCAGGTGAAGTAGAGTTGAGTAGGTCACATGTGACGTCAGTATATGAAGGGATAGTCCGAAATCGGTGTTTTCGGTGTTTTTAAAAGATAAGAAACATATTTTTGAATGTGGGGTCTGTTTTTGTGACGATAAGTGACACTGCAGTAGCGTAGCGAGGAGGGGGGGGGGGCGGGAGGGGAGGCGGGGGGGGGGAAGGGGAGGCGGGGGGAGGTGGAGGGGGGGGGGCGGGGGGACATATGTTGGGGCGCCAAAATGGTTTGGAAAAATAAATTGAAAGGTTGAGGGGGGTTCAAATCGAAAGTTTGAGTGGGGGGGGGGGGGGGTGCACATCAAAAGTTTGAGGGGGGGGGGGGTTGAAAATCGAAATCTTAAGGGGGGGGGGGGGTTAAAATCGAAAAGTTTGTCCCCGGGCGCCGGGAAGGCTCGCTATGCCTCTGAGTGACAGACGTGATGTTTTTTGATGGATGACCCCCGAAACCCACAGTTATCCAACGGATGACGGGTATTCTAGTCTCTCACACATTACCCAAACCTAACCCCCTCTCCTAAAATCCCATAACCCTAAAAACTGGGCCCTCCCCCCAATTCAAAATCCCACAGTAATCAGTGTTAGCTGTGTGAAAACTGAACAAGAGACCCTCCCCACCCCCACCCCCCCCCCCCCCTTCCACCATTCAGACGAGACACCCGCCTGCTAGTGAGAGTGTCAACAGACTAATGTACAAGACATCACGTGACTTGACCGAGTGTTTAAAATGTTTACTGCTCGACTACCGAGTGCCCAAACGTCAATAGGCGGTTGTTGTTTTTTCAACGGTTGGCAAAGTGGTGGTATTAAAAGTCTGATCCCATAATGCGTCAGTAGCGTTGGGAATAGCCGCCATGTTTTTTTTTTTTAAAACATGAGATGTTGGGTTAACTGAACTTCGCAAAGCTCAAAGTTGAAGACTGGCTTCTCTCCCCTCCTGTCCAAAGTTGAACTGCCTTCTCTTCCCTCCTGGCAAGAGTTGAAGACGGGTTTCTCTCCCCTCCTGTCCAAAGTTGGCTTCTCTCCCCTCCTGGCAAGAATTGAAGACTGGCTTCTCTCCCCTCCTGTCCAAAGTTGAAGACTGCCTTCTCTCCCCTCCTGTCCAAAGTTGAAGACTGCCTTCTCTCCCTTCCTGGCAAGAGTTGAAGACTGGCTTCTCTCCCCCCCTGTCCAAAGTTCAAACTGGCTTCTCTCCCCTCCTGTCCAAAGTTGGCTTCTCTCCGCTCCTGGCAAGAGTTGAAGACTGGCTTCTCTCCCCTCCTGTCCATAGTTGAAAGTTGGCTTCTCCCCTCCTGACAAGAGTTGAAGACTGGCTTCTCTCCCCTCAATCAGGTTCAAGAGTATCTAATTAGCCAGATTTTTGTTTTGTCATGGACAGGTCATGAAACAAAATCTTCATCTGATCAATGGATCGCTAGGTCTTAAGAGGAACTTTACTATACCAGGACTATTTTTAGTTATAAGCAATGGAATGAGTGTTCCCTGAAAAATAACTTTTTTTTTAATTTCTACGTATTACTATTATTACATCTTTATAACAATTTGAAAGACATTTTTAGAATAACAACAAAAAATTTGCCAGTAATCCTGTCAGAAATCAGTGAGGCATCAATTTCTTCTGTGGTCATAATAAGTCTTGGGTCTATGCTATGATTTCAGCTTAGTGTTAAGAGTGCTCTTAGACTATTGATTCTATAATAATTCTCAAACTATTGGTTGTTTGAGTACGGCTTTAGTAGATTAAACTTTGATGTACTAAACAGGGAAATAAGCTGAAAGCCATTCCTACATTATTTATTTCTACTTTCTCGATTATACGAAGTATAAAGTCTTGTAATCGTGCAAAAAAAAAAAAAAAAAACGAAATTTTTACAAATCTCGACGTTTTACACCTCACTGATACGGAAAAACATAATTTTGCTATCTTGTCCGTATGTCTGTCTGTAAACACGATTACTTGAGTACCGTTACAGCTAGGTTGATGAAATTTCATATATCAGTATTTTATCAAAATCGAAGATCCGTATCAACTTTTGAGCGATTTCCGATAACCGGAAGTGGTACTTTTTCTACTTTTCAAAAGCCTGTAACTTGAGTACTATTTTAGATAGATAAATAAAATTTCACATTTAAGTAAAAGATCTAATTCTCTACCTTCTTTCAAATTTTGAGTAATTTCCGTTGACCGGAAGTACTAATTTACGCGATTTCCGATTTCTCAAAAAACGCATGTAAATTTATAAAGCACTAATAATATTGCGCACTATTATGCACATTTTGTTTTGGTGTTCGCTTGGTGTGCAATTCTATTTTCTATGAGATTCTATTCTATTTTTAAAAGTTTAAGTAATTAAAAATCATGTCTATATTCCAAGTTATATAAGAATATTCGAGAAAGTTTAGGGGAGATCACTCCCGGTTTATTAAATTGCCTTCTAATTTTGATCAAGGGGAATTAACTATTTTTTGTTTCAATCCTGTACATCATTAATGTGAGAACACAAGTACAGTTTAATAAAGCAGTAAAGACAAAAAAGCTCATAAGTTTAACAACATAATATAATTGTTCCTTCAATAAACATAATGCACATTCAAACATTATGGGGAGCTTTAACAAAAATAAAAATAAGGAAACATTCTTTTGTTGAGCATCAATTTCTGCATGTAAAAGTGAACAGTGAACAACATACATCCTTGTTACAAAAATAACAATTTTCTGTGTGATGGTTAGAAAACTACAAATTGAAACTGACAGCATTTCTTGACAGAACTAAAGCTCCTCATGGGGGTGGGTGTCTTGTGGCTGGGAGCATCTGGCAGGGGTTGTAAACTCAAACTGGTACTCACAGCGGCTTGGCTCTGATGCACCTGTCAGAGCATTCTCTGATCCACAGTGGATCTTTACCTGGATGATCAAATCAGATAGGTAAGCCAACAGTTAATCAACAGCAGTGATTTATCAAACTACAGTTGTACAGCTTACTGGCTTCTTCATCTAAAACCTCAATATGAACTTGCCAAAAATTTATTGTATGCTACATGTGTAGAAAAGATTATGCCAGAATTGTATTCTAAGTGCTTGAAATTGAAAACTATTTGATTTATGCAAATGAAAAGCATCCAGTATTGATTATTAGGCACAACATAGACAACCAACAATACAAAAAAAAAATAATAAGCATCCAGCTCTAGGCAGTAACCAACAATAAATGAAAGTGAAACCTACATGGCATGATCTGTTGGGCCCATTCCAGCAGCTCTGGCCATTCTCATACTTCATGGAGTCGTATTTGTCACCTTCTGGGCCATGCCAGTGTCCCCACACACTGAAAACATTTTTAAAATCTTGAATCAAACAGTGCTTCATCTCTAGAGCACAAATATGATAGGAAAACTGGCATCAAGCTCCCTTTTTTTAATGTGACAGTTAGTAAATAAAATGAGAACAGGCCTATATAATGTAAAATAATCCAATTTCTAAAAAAGTATTATAGCCAATCTCTTAATGAATAACTTTGGGATTAACTAAAAATTCATCTCCCCCCCCCCCCCCCCACATCAGACAGAGCCATGTTGTAAGCTACTTACCCCAAGTTAGTTTCTATACCACCACCTTTAGGTTTCTGAGATGTCTTCTCATAGGGGCAGAATTTGTAAGTGTACTCTCTGTCTGTGTACTCAAAGCACTGGCCCTTCAGGACAGAGAACTCTTCTTCTGGCCCAAGGTCAAGGTCCAGATACTTCTTTATGTTGCTGATGTGAAAATTGTCAACATTGAATGAAATGACAGTCATGAACTTAACATGCAGCTATTTTAGCATGGAGAGACACATTGTCATGACTTACTTAATTTCGTTGTCAATATCTTTCACTTTTTTGTCAGCCTCGTCATATTTTTGTCTGGCTTCATCAGCAACTGGGTGAGATAGAAAATGTGTTACTTTCAACTGTGGCTAACAAAACACAGAAGGTAATTAACACTAGGCTTTAATACAACACAAAGTTGTACGAGAATGAAAACAATGAAGTTGTCTCCACCTACTTGCCATCAACCTCTTAGTTTCATCATCATAATCAGGCATCCTATCTTCTTCAGCAACCTGCTCCAACTAGGATAGAAAGAAGTGACTTTTAAAATACAAACTAGCAAAGTGTTTATGAACTCTCTAACTTAAATATGGCATCTGGAGAAAAACAGCGTTGCTGCTTTAACCACAAGTCAGGCTGCTGTTATTTATCTACTAAAACTAATGAACTATACAATTAGTATTTGGATCATTTCTGATCATTTTAAATAATAAAATCTTAATTCTAAATTAAATTAATTATCCACAGAATAAATAAGGAAATAACAAATTCTAGTTAGTTATTTGATTCTTGTATCAATTAGAGGTAGTGTAAATCACCATTTAAATGTATATTATGGAACAAATAAAAATGTATTTGAAAGTCACTATATCCAATTTCAATTATTTTGTTAGTTCTTACACTCAAACATTATAACAAGACTCTACAATTAGTATGTAAAATTTAACAAGACAACTACACTTAGTGTTTCCTGCATAGATTGTTTTTTTTTAGCCACTAATACAGTCCATCCCTTTTACCTTTATGCAACACATACAAAGTTTACAGAAGACTAAATATTCAAGAAATCAACAACCCAAAAAAAAAAAATTATAACAATGAGCACTTAAGCCAATGGCACACAAGGCAATTTAACTAAAATTTAAGCAATGATAAAACACAATGTTTGCAGAAAAAAGATTTGTTTTAAATATCTATACTTGTTTAAAGACAACTTATATATACCATTTTTAAGCAGAAACATTCTTCAAATTTGTAGTAAAATAAATTCAAAGGTTAAGAAAAGAAAACTATAAAAAGTGGTGTACTTAAATAATTTGCTGAATAACTTTTGCCACTAATAAAGCTTAAGTGGTTCTTAATTATGCATGATTATTTGTGAGATTTTATAATTACAAATCCCTGTACTCAAATATTTCAAAATTTCAAAGCATTTGTAAAATAGCAAGACAATTAAAAAATCATAATTTGTAATTGGAAGTGTTGTATCAATGTGCTGTGCTGTGTGCCAAATAAATCAAACATTCAAAAAGCAATTAAAACTGAAATAAAAACATTTCAATAAACATCGATCAGGTGGGGCCATCCACAAATAATTTGTAATGGTACAATTTTAAACAATCTCTTAATCTTCTACTCATTTCACTTTTTTACTTTGTAGACTAAGAACATCTACATTTCTTTTAAAAATTAAGGGTATCAGGGTCAGTAGGTATTATTATCAAAAGAACATTGCTGGTTCTCTCACTAATATTAGGGGACAAGGAAAAACAATTATTTTGTATATTTTTTATCAATGTTAATAAACTATGTTACAGCTTCTTTTGATGGCAATAAAGCTTCTTGTTAATGTATGGGTCTGTGAAAAATTCAATAGTACTAAAAGAATTTCCTGAATATAACCGAGTTAGTACCAGCACTAGGATGATGATCCACTTTAAAAAATAGGATGATACTTGGATGCACACAAGTTATAAACAGAATAGATCCAGTAATGCTACCAGCTGTATGCAGAAGGTAAATGTTCATGATACAGGCAACTATGGAGAAACCACTTTCAGCTCAAAATGCAGGCATCTCATTGAAAAAATGAAATAGGAAAATCTTACTTACATCAGATTTTTTATCAATTACATCTTTATTATCATTTTTTTCTTCTACATCTTCCTCATCATCATCTTCTTCAGTATCATCATCATCATCATCATACTCCTCAGTTTTTTCATCTTTTTCATCTGTAGTTCCTTCTTTAATATCATCAAGTGGAATTTCCTAAGAGTACCATGCAAGCAGATGTAGCTTGTCCCAAGCTAGAACCACTTTAAATAATTAACTTACAAGTGCTCTAATCAAATTATGATAGTCCTTAATTAAATTAAAAGGCACCTTTAACATTTTGTACTCAAAATCTTGGTAAAATAAGCCCATTAGCATGGATTGAACTAAATGCTAAGGCATTACCAGTATTGCTCTAAAGTTATAAAATATGGAACCAAATTATTACTTAAAATACACAGTATATAATCAAGACCTGCAGTAGACAGGATTAAAGCTAGAAATTAAAAAAGCAGCACCAGTATAAACAATCTATTGTAAAAACATCTTTGCTTATACTAAGTATGTTTGAGTGTTTCTATACACTCAAGTGCTGAATTCTTAACAATTAAATTATATGGAATTTTGTTATTTGTTTAGTGCAGTTGCTCCAACATACAAAAGACAAATAACATTTATGGTAGTATAAACTGATTGTTCAAAATATTCAATCATGTATTAAAAAAAATGCTTAAAAATTGTATAACATACAAAATGACAAGTTAGTTGACACAATGATGAAGTCTTAGTCAGCAAACAATGGAAAGTTATTTGCCAGCTCATAGACAATTACAAATAATTGAGATAAAAACTCTTCACATCAATGTTAAAGCACAGTAAAGAGAAAATTAAAAACATACTTTGAAATATTTTTAAATAACTAATGGTAAACAACTGGTAAACAAAAAAACAACTAAAGTATAAGAATATTGAAATAATTTTTAAGTCTTCCATAATTAAAAAAAAAAAGCAAGAACATGTCTAAAACAACAATGACAAATATGTCTAAAATAGAACAACTAAATACAAGTTTTAAGAACAAAATAAGATTTTCAAACAGTGAAAACATAGTGAAACATATATTATAAACAGAAGCGGTAAGCTATTAGTGTGCTATATAAAATCACACAAGTATAAAAATAATTTCAAAAAAAGTTTAGAACAAAAAAAAAATGGGTGATGAGCAAGGAATAAACAAAAAAGTGGGGAACTACTTATTAATGTCATACATTTTTGTGATCCCTCTAACTATTATAGGAATGTAGATGTCCCTGATTTAAAAAAAAACACTTACTGGATCTGCTTCTTCAGGCACCTCTGGTGGTGCTGGAGCTTCATCCTTCTTTTCCTCCTTGGTTTCTTCTTGTATTGACCCATAAGGTTTGTAAATCTCTTTGACATTGGGCCAGATCTTTTCTGTGAAGGTTTCTAAATCAACCTCCTCTCTTTCCTCCAGGTATTCCTACCATAAAACAAGGCAGTGATTTTAGAAACCACATAGACCAAGATATTGAACAGTAACATCTAGATAGATAGGTGTACCATGTGTTTGTATGCTGAATACAACTTTATCTGGAAAGACATGAAGTTGTGCACCTACCCTAGCCTCTTCCTCACTAACTGTACCATCAGAATCAATATCAAACTCTGGGTGTCTTATGATTTCTGGGAAGTCAACTCTGGAAATAATGTTCTCATTACATTAAATTCAGATGGGCAATTCAAGACTTTTATGTGCAGCTAATTAACAAAAGCTGTGAGTGAATAATTTTAAATCAAAACCAAACAATGAACTCATGACTGCAATGGTTACGTCGAACTTGAGGTGACAATGGAAAAAAATAACTCACCGGCCATCCTGATTAACATCCAGATCAAGAAACGCTAGAGAAGCAGCTTCAGTTTCTTGCCTCTTTTTGCGCTCAGCTTTCACAGCTTCAAAGAAAAAAACAATATCAAGTAGCATCATTGGGTTTCCTAAGCAGCGGACTATTTTCTTATGATCAAACTAAATGTTTACCTTCCCAGGCTTGTTCATGTTTATCTTTAGCCACTTTTTCTGGAGCTTCAGCTTCCTCTTTCGCAGCTAGTAATAAGAAAATGGTTTTATTATATAGAACTGTATAAAAAACTGTTCTTGCTATTGTTTTTTTAAAATAAGCCTTCCAACAAAACGATAATAAATTAATTATAACACAAGATATATCTAACAAAAATACATTAAATTAAAACAAAAAAAAAACCTTTGAGAATATCTTTCTCTTTGTCAAGCAGATCCTTTTCTTTTGATAATTCTGTCAATTGAGACTGGGGAAAAATAAAAATTATTTTTCTAAACAGACACAAATTATATAATTTACTTGTTTTGTCTTCGCTTGCATTGAAAGTTAATTATGAACTTGTTAATAAATCGTATAAAACAAGGGTGATTGCTGTTATATTCTGCCTTGTGATCATAGTTATGTTAATATTTTTTACAGATATCCTGCAGCTGATTTCTCAAATTACAGAAAATAATCCTTAAAAAGAATAATGAAATATAGATCTACTTTATTCATTGTTTTAAGTTTGCATGTTTTAAATGATCTTGTAGTTAGGGAAGGCCTTATATGCAATAAAAAATATACAATAAGAAATATTGCTATTTATGTTTGTACTAGGTTAAAACACTAACCAGTTTCTCATCTTTGGTTCGCCTTCCAGTCTGAATATACTCAAGCTTAACTTTATAACCAGCTTCTTGTTTCTCTCTTAACGCTTCTTGCTGAGCTCTGATCTCTGCTAGCATTTTCCTAGAGAAAAACACAAAATTTTTTAGTAATGACAACATTCTAAAAGTTTTAAATCCACAAAAGAAACCAATGATGACAGGAACAGAACATTAAACAGTGAATTAAAACTAGGACTAAACTAGACAAGACTTACTCGCAGAGGTTCTCACAAGAGATTGTACCATCATATTCATCAGAACCATCACAACAGTCTGGAAAAGTGAACAGAAATATAATCTGTTACAATTAAAATGAAGTGAGGCTAAGCAAATCTTCACTTATGATGCAGAGTAATCTAAGCAGCTTACCACAGATCCCATCATTCACACGCGAGGACATGATGTAACTGCCTTTAATTGACTTGTTTTCACAATAGAATAATCCATTGCTACATGCAGAGGTTCCTGTATTAAACAAGATATTATCAATATCATTATTTATCAATATTATAGTTAACTAGTGTCACAGACTGTATTATTATGTATCTTTATTATATTGTGTTTTGCATGAATGAAGAGTAGCTGGCTAGCGGAAGGACTGTCTGAGCGATCGTCATGTGTTTTTCCGTGTTTTGGGTGAGATCGCTCATTGACGTAAGGGGAGAGAAAGTAGTGAATAAAAGGGAGAGCGAAAGGTGAACGGGTGTTGTGTGCTAGGACTTGGGACTGGAACGATGGCAGTAGAATGTAAGATGTCTCCATGACTTGGAGTCGTGATTATTATTTGTACCTATTATTTGTACCTATATCAGTTGATCTTCAAATATGGATGTACCACGGATTTATCTGTACATAGTGTAAATAAAGTTGTCATTTCAAGTTGCCACTGTTGCTCGTGTTCCTGTATGAAAGCTAACCCACAACAACAAAGAATACATGTTGTTACATATGGTGTCAGAAGTGGAGGCAATAAAGTGATGTTGCTACATTGTATTACTGTTACTTATGATGTCACAAGTGGTTGAAGAATTGGTGCTACATATGTCAGAAATGGAGATATTACAGTCTGTGGTCTTCCACTGTTTACCAAGTACGTCAAGTTCTTGAAAGTCATCTATCTACACTCAAGTCAGAAGGGTTGCTGTAGTCAAGTCAGACGTTTTGTTCAAGTCAAGTCATCAACGTGATAATTTTTATCACCTTATTTCGATATTGTCTCACCAATGTCGAGTAAATATCGTCTGTGTGTTTTTTCTATTTGGATTTAGCTGTTCAAGTTTTTTCTATTTGGATTTAGCTGTTCAAGTTTTTTCTATATGGATTAGCTGTTCAAGTTTTTCTACTGTTTGGATTTAGCATATCAAGTTTATTTTTGTAACTGTTCCTAAACTGTTCCTAAAGATGTCTTATCTAAAACTGGACAAATTTCTACTCTGTAACAGGCTACTAGAACTATTTTGAATTTTTTCAACTTTTTGGAATCAACAAAGTGAACTATTTTTGTACTATATATGTACTATGAACTTTTCTTGGATTACTAGATGTCTCTAATCAACTGAACAAAGCCAGAAACCAAGAAAGGGTATTGTAAATTAATTAACATTTATCTATTGTCAACTAATGAATTTATATTTTATGTCATAGAAAATATATCAAAATGTTATGTTTTGAAGAATATCTAGCACTAGCGAGGGCGCAAGGCATTAAGAAGATGAAGAAGCAGATAGCCTGGGCAAACACTCGATTTGACAGAGACATAGAAAAAGCATTAGAAGCATGGGACGAAGAAACAGGACGACCCCGAGTAGCTCATGGAAAAGTAATAAGTGAATTAGATGATGAGATAGAAATAGAGTGTAATAGATCAAGAGCTATTACAGACATGCAAAAAGAAGAAGAAATGTCAGATGGAGATAAAGTAGAAGAGACTGTACAACTAAAAGGAAAGCGAAAAAAAAGAAACAGAAAACAAAGAGCAGATAAAAGGGCTGAAACTTTGGAAAAACAAGTTGGCCTACATGAACTAGTATATAAACAAGAACTATTAGAAATGAAAGCTATAACAGACACAAATGAAACAAAATTAGAAAGTGAACAGACAGAATTTAAAGCAGAACTTGAAGAAGTAAATATTGGCAACCTTTGGAATGAAGAACAGAGTAACATAGTCCAGGAAGAATTGAAACCCAAGGAAAAAACAGAGGTTGAACTTAATAATGATTTAAAGGGGACAGATACATTAGAATGTCTTAAGATTGACTCTTTATTGACTCAAACGCAGGTACACGAGAATATTATTGAAAGTTGTATCGTAAGTCCATCAGAGAATGGCAGTCAACAAGAAATAAGTCCATCAGATAATGGTAGTAAACAAGAAATAAGTCCATCAGTGAATGGCAGTCAAAATGATTTAATAAGCCCATCAGTCAATGGCAGTGATGATTTAATAAGTCCATCGGAGAATGGCAGGAATCATGATAAACTAATGATGATTAATGAATCAGTGAACTTAATAAGCCACAATGAAGAGAACGTACCTATTGAAGATTTACTTCGAAAATTGGAGTCAAACTATAAAGAAGATATACTAGAACTCAAGAATAAATTTAACAAAGAAATGGAGAAATTAACACAGACATTTATGTGTGAATTAGAATCAATAAAGAAGCACAAGGAAGTTAAGAAAGATGAAACAGTAACTAGAAACTACCATGTCATTGATGCACAGAATGAAAGTAAAAGAAATTTAGCAAACTATGAATACAGTCAACATGTTAATAAGAATGTCATTAATGTCATTAATGCACAGAATGAAAGAAAAAGAAATTTAGCAAACTATGAATACAGTCACCATGTTTATAAGAAGCCAAAATCTAGATGTTTTTACTGCGGAAAAACAGGTCATTACCAAAATCAATGTTGGCATAGGTTGGCAAATCAGAGAAGAAACAATTATGTACACAGAAAGTCATGTGAGAAATACAGTAATTTAAGGAATAATGTATCAAGTTCAAATCAGAATAACAAAAGTGTGAATAGGTATACTAATGGAAGCTACCGACGCAACACATATTATGAGAGGCCAAAGCAATGCCATAATATTTATATTAAGTTGGTTGATGAACCAAACGAACGTACACAAAGCAAGATAACTACTGACATTGTTCAGAAACCAGAGGAGAATATTAAAACAAATAAAGTAACACAAGTTAAACGAAATCAAGGAAATGATTATGGTAGCACAGCTAAAAGCTACAATTTGAGGGAGAGATGGCATACAGGTCATCGTCAACTGCACGAGAACGATTACTCATGCTATAGAGGATGCTAAGATTAAATTATCAATTGACAGTTTATTAATATTATACAGTCTGTAACTGTAATATATAAATATCAAATAATGTGTTTGAGTAAACATAAATTGTGTACTATATCTAAAGAATGTAAACTGTATTAGGTTAAACCTATTCTATACTATTAATTAACAGAGAATAATGTATAAAGTAAAAGTTAGAGACTATTTACTCCGCATAACAATAAGACGGAAGTCTCAATGATGAATTGAATTGTGTATTAGTCATTACCTGTGGAAGGCAGGAATGTGGTTGTGTTGTGACCTAGATATGACTGAAATGGGTCAAATAGGGGAGACAACAAAGTATATTACTCATGCGTGGTAATAACATACCTTGATGATAAGGAAGTTTTTTTTTACCACATAGGATATAGTTATTTAAATTAGGAGTTGAATTAAGTCTTTGATAATTTCAACTATGTATTATAGTTTGGTAATTTACTAAACTCATTTGTCTTGTTTATACTACAATTACTGGGTAATTGAAATGTTTTTCTTTCTCATATTTGAATATATTACACATAATGCTTGTGCATTAGTCTACAAAGAATGTATTTTTCCATGTTTTTTGAAATGTATAAAAAATTTTGTTGTCTGGCACATGGTCCTGCCCTACTAATATTGTATTTATAAATTTTGTTACACAAAATTTTATTCGAAGGGGGGACGTGTCACAGACTGTATTATTATGTATCTTTATTATATTGTGTTTTGCATGAATGAAGAGTAGCTGGCTAGCGGAAGGACTGTCTGAGCGATCGTCATGTGTTTTTCCGTGTTTTGGGTGAGATCGCTCATTGACGTAAGGGGAGAGAAAGTAGTGAATAAAAGGGAGAGCGAAAGGTGAACGGGTGTTGTGTGCTAGGACTTGGGACTGGAACGATGGCAGTAGAATGTAAGATGTCTCCATGACTTGGAGTCGTGATTATTATTTGTACCTATTATTTGTACCTATATCAGTTGATCTTCAAATATGGATGTACCACGGATTTATCTGTACATAGTGTAAATAAAGTTGTCATTTCAAGTTGCCACTGTTGCTCGTGTTCCTGTATGAAAGCTAACCCACAACAACAAAGAATACATGTTGTTACAACTAGAAAAAGTGGATAAAATATTATCAAATAAAAAAATTAGGTGAAAAGCATTTTGAACAAGTTAAATCATACTTAAAAGTTAAATGTAATTGTTACGTCACTTTTTTGTCAAGATTTGAAAATTTTTATGAAGAATATTTTATATATATATATGTATACTGTTTACCTGGTTCATCTGAACCATCAGCGCAATCACAGTAGTCATCATTTACATGTTCCAAAGGGATGGATTTGCCATCTGATAAACATCTGAATGTTGTGCTTCCTTGATAAAATGCTGCCTCTGAGGGGCAAAAGTAAATTTAAAAGGTGCATTATAAGATGAAAAGCCAATCCTAGGCAGCATTAATAATATAAAATTTCTTGGCAACAATACAACATGTTTGTGGTGGCAGAGGATTCTAACACGATGATGTTCAAATTCAAAGTCTATACATCGGGTGGCTTTGATGTTTCAGTTTCACATAAAATAAAGAAGTTGATCTAGATGAACTCATGTATTTCTGGCAGTTTTGAACAAGGTGGTATTTTAAGTCAACACAAAAGAAAGTTGATAAATCATAAACCATCAGCATGCCGCAAAAAATTTGAAGTTATAATATAACAAAGTTTAGGCCCATTGTAAATCAGGTGCTGCATAATTTTCACAGGTATTTGAGGTATCTTCACATTTTACCCTCACCGGGCATAAGTCTGATAAGATGCGTGACAATAGTGTCACAAGACCAGCTGCAATTTATCGACTCACCATTTCGCATTTCACAATTTACCCACACCAGTCTGGATCTATAGATTTATTCTAGATCTAAATTTCAAGATCTAGATTCTAAATATAAATTAGAGGCTAGATCTTGATCTATTTTGGTTATCTATCGTTTTAGGTGCGTAAAAATCGGTCAAAGCTAAACAATAGTAATAGATTAGGCCCCTACCTCTTTTTTTAAACTAAACCAAGAAACTAAAATCTAACGAAGTGTCTATTCACAGTCGACTGTGAATAACCGTATTGGGGCTATTCACAGTCGTGACCGTTTTTTGATAGACTTAATGTTAAAAATACCCAACATGGGCATGAAGATGTGTGGTTGAACGGTCATGGGGAGTGGCTATCGTGCCTTATTGTTATGACTCTTAATGTATTCTTCTTTATCTTATTATCAAAATATTTTTTCACAGTTACTTGAGTTACTCATGGTTTTTTTTGTTTTATTTTTTCGTTTGTGACGTAATTGTTGGCATATCAGCAAAAAAAAAAAAATCTATACCCCACTCCCCAGTCACAATAAATGCTTTTATTATTTTAAGATATTATTCAAAGTCGTATTTAGCATGAAATGACAGCCGACTGTGAATAGCCGTATTGGGGCTATTCACAGTCGGCTGGGAATAGCCCCAATACGGCTAAAATCTAAAAATTGTCTCTTCTCAGACTAGTTAAGTTCAAAATAAGTTCAGTACACTGATGAGAGTATGACCTCAGTATGAGAGTACACTCTCTCAGACACTCACTGTGTCTGAGTGAGTACACTCAGTACACTCACACTGTGAGTTAGGCTTTTTGATGAGAATTACAGAATGATTTTTTTTTTATTGAAAATGTATCAATGATAGCTAGAACACTAGTAAACTAAGCTAATTTAGCATATTTTAACTTTCTGTGCAAAGTCATTATTACTGAAAAAAATTCCAAAGTCAGGTCAGCCTGTGGCACCCTCCACTGAACTTGACAGAAGGAAAAAAAACTTGACCCGTGACCCTCATTAAAACAGAATTTGCTTTTGTTTTATTTTTTATTTTTAGTAAACATGTGCTTTATCTTACCCAATAAGTGATAAAAATTTGAAAATTAATTTTAATTACTGTTGTAAAGTGAGATAAACAGCTTAATAAAAACATGTTTTCTTGAGGGGGTGTGACCCGGGTGTGTCACATCGCAATTGGAACTTTATATTTCTGTGTTTTATGACTATATTTGTTTACAATTAGCATGCTATGCTTTTAAAATTGATAAAGGGTAAGTATACCAAGTTACAAAATCTTAAAAACGATCATCAACGAAGAAAGCGTAAACATTCTATTTTTAGGTGTGACATAAAAAAACAGTCATAAATCTAGCCAAATGATTGGATTCTTGCGCGGCACACAATTCTTAAATAACAGACTGAAATAGAAAAGGATAGTTCCGTTTTCTAAAATTAACGATGGCATCGTAATCAATAGTTTTATCCCTATACCGTTTAGAGAAAGCAAAACTGGTCGCCATTTTAGTAAGCGCATGAGCCGTGAGATGCCACGAAAATGACAAACCCGGAAGTGTTGAATCGAATGGCCTACTGTGAGTAGATCTAGAATTCTAGATCTAATCTAGATCTAGATGAGAGTGTCTATTGGTACTTTACTACAAATAGCCCTCAGAAGGCTATTCGTACTTCGCTATTTTTAGCCGACCAATGAAATTTATTTTTAAATTCATTGGTGTATGACATTTCAATTTTGAACGCTTGAAGTAACTGCTCCGGTGGTCGAAGTGGTTGTGCATTGGCTAGTTTGTTTTCGAGGCATGGGTTCTATTACATTTAGCTCAGAGATTTTTTTTTCATTTTAATTTTGCTTTTTTTTTTTTTTAATTTTACTTAAGGATTAGGGTTAAGTATTAGGCCTTATTAGGGTAAGTCTAGATCTAGAATCGGTAATCCCTTAGTTTAGCGTCGGTTATTATTCCGGAATCGTATAGCAGTAAAAAACAGTAAAACAATGCCAAAGTCTGTCACACACTTCCGGAATTCACCGGAAGTACTGTAAACAATACTTTATTTGGCGTCATCTTTTATTTTTATACAGAATGTTTAAATTTTGGATAGATTTATTTTTGTAATCATTTTTACTATTTTCGTAATCTAGATTTTTTTACTTGGTCTAGCAGCTAGATATCTAGCTAGATCTAGATCTAATTAATTAATGGTCGCAAATCCGCTGCAAGCCAAAAACATTAAATTATTACATTTGACTTCATTATTTATATTTATATATGTTTTTTTTTTAATTTTTAGATCTACTAATTTAAATCTACTATTATATTTATTCTTGTTTTCTTTAGTCGATTAAACTTAAAAAATTAAAACATTAATTTACTACAATCGACTTTCAATTTATTTATATTTCAATGGTCAAATAAACCATGGTTTACCGTAACTCTAGCTACCGAAACTCAACAAACATTACCCAATAATTTCCGACGCTAAACTAAGGGATTACCCTAGAATCTAGAGATCTACTACTAGATTTAGATCTAGATCTACTTAGTAAAAGTCTTAGTACTTGATCTAGATTCTAGTACTCTAGTCACTAGTGAGCACTAGAGGTCTAGATCTAGATCTAGAAATTCTAGATCTAGATTCTAGATCTAGAATCTAGATCTAGAATCTAGATTCTAGTCTAGTGAGACTCTAGTGTCGAGTCACGGCTTAGGCCTTAGGCTTAATTATTAATTATTAAATTAAGTCTTTTAGGCCTACTTGAACTTGCCAACCTAAGATGCAAAATTTTTAAATACAACACATACTTTCAATAGAAACTCCTCTTGGCCTTTCAAGGCAATAGATTCCAGCACTAAAACTCAATATCAAAGAAAAAATTAATTCTAGCTTCATTTTAAATTAAATTCAAAACTCAGCTAAGATTCGGCTGAAGACTGATAATGATGACGTTACTGTACCACTAGACTATACCGCATTCACTTCCGCTATCACTTTTAGTATCGTTTTTTTTAATGCATTATTATCTGATAACTTTTAAATGTAAATTTTAATATTGTCAGAATATCCATTTTCTCATTTTAAGATCTCTCTAGATCTAGATCTATGTGAATTTCTTCCATTCCATCAGAATTGTGTGCTTTGTATATGTTTGGCACTAGAGAGGCACACGTTTCATAATGATCTAAAGTTAAGGTCACTAGGCCTGCTAAACGAGGTGCAACATTACAACTGCTACTGCTTTGTAGAGTTTCTTCCAGGCATCTCTTCGGGGGGCTTTGCCCCCCCCCCCCCCCCCCCGAAAACTTTTTACCGCCCCCCCCCCCCCCCGAACGAAATGAAATTTATATAATTTATATAGAAAATATATACTTTTAACAGTGTCCGCCCCCCCCCCCCGAAGAAAGTCTACAGCCCCCCCCCCCCCCGAAAATTTCAAGTGCCCCCCCCCCCACCCCCGGAGAAAAAAGTCTGGAAGAAACACTGCTGCTTTGTAACTTGGTGCTACTTAACTGAGGTGCCCTGTCAAAACGGCCGGAGACAAATCGGCCCCGTAAAACGGCCCCGTTAATATGACCCCGTCAAATCGACCCCCGACAAAACGACCCAGTCAAAATAGTCCCGTCAAAAAGGGCCCCGACTTATTGACTCCCGTCAAATGGGCTCCAGTTATATTGACTCGCGACATATAGGCTCCCGACAAATGAACTCCCGACATTTAGGCTCCCGACAAATGGACTTTCGACATATTGGCTCCCGACATATTGGCTACCGACAAAGTGGCTCCCGACATATTGGCACCCCACATAAGGGCTCCCAACAAATGGGCTCCCAACAAATGGGCTCATGCCATATTGGCTCCTGACAAATGGGCTCCCGACATATTGGCTACCGACAAAATGACTCCAGACATATTGGCTCCAGACAAATAAATGGAATGACCACTATTGGCATAAATAAAGACAACGTAACCGTGTTCATGTGATGAGGTAGTTTAAACCAGTGGCGTAGCGAGGTCGGGTGTCACCCGGTGCGGCACTTAATGGTGTCACCCCCCAGAGGCGTAGCGACCCTTCCCGGGGACAAACTTTCAAGTTTTCTATCCCTCCCCCCTTCTCAAACTTTCGATTTGCACCCCCCCCCCTCAAGTTTTTCTATATATTTTGCTATTTTTTGCCTTGGTGTCACCCCCCCCCCTAAATGGTGTCACCCGGTGCTGTCCTCACCCCCCGCCCCCCCCCTCACTACGCCCCTGGTTTAAACGTTACCTAACCCGATTGATTCCTACGAAAGCAATGTGACTAAGTACATACCTGCGTATTTAATAATGCAAATAGTTTTCTCAGTCAACCTTCTCCGGTACCAACTATAGAATAGTTCAAATCTTCTATTCCGTAGCTCTAACCACATTAGACCATATTTGTCATTTATATTTTGTACCAAAATCCACGTAACATATCGTTATCCATAACGTTCTCCTTTATACGGATATATAATTTCTCAGCATTTAACATGATCAAGCAGGCCAGGTAATATGAACATATCTGAAAAATCGATATATTCGAACCTTTCCTTTTACCTGCGGCCTTCCTTTGTATTTCAACTTTGTCACGGCTCAGTGGAAAAAGTATTTAAGTGTATTTTGAGAGTTTTGAGAAAAATGAGTGCAAAGTTTTTAAATTGAAGCTGAAATACCAAAAACAGCTGATGCAGAGTATTCGAATGAAGCTACTTCGGTACTTTTTCCATGGCCCAAATTTACATGGATGGTAAAGGGGAGGTAATCAAATAATATACCGGTCTTAACTCTTTTTTGAAAAAAATGTAACTTAGGCCCTAGGTACTTTTTCCACTGAGCCCTTCAAATATTTGTTTTGGAAGGTGATGGCTGTGTAATAGCTAGATCTATAAAATACTATAAATACTAAACTTTATATCCCAAACGTATTTATAGCTGGCTGCTATACACAATTTTCCCCGAAAAAAGCGAATTGATGTCACCTGTGTGTTTATTCATTCATTGAAAGTCACCTCATAACACAGTTACAGTACAGTATTTTACTTACTTTTAAGATTTTAAGTTTAGATACTAGATACTAGATAGGCCTATATCCTGGTTGTCTTAGCCACAAGTTACAAGTATTTTACTATTTATTTATTAAGTAAGTAGATCTAAAAGCCATCAAAATTTATACTCAAAAATGTTGTTTTTTAAAGGTTTTTTTGTTTGTTTTTATGTCTTATGTTAAGATCTATCTAATGTATACTAGAATTTTGTATACAACACAAAGTGGAGAAAAATGTATGTAGAGCTTTATTTTTTTTGTCACTCTAGTGACTAGTGTAATATTAAATATAAGTTTGAAAAATACAACGCCTAACCCATCCCTACACAACGTAAATCATTGTATGCGTTTTTCTCATGTAAAAATCAGTTTTAAATAGTTTTCTGATACAGATTTTTGTTTAAGTAATTAAATGCATGGCTATGATTTGTAAACCCAAAGTACAAAATATACAAAAGAGAACCGAAAAGCTATTTCTTTGCAGATCATTCACTACAGTTGATGAAGTTCAAAATACAACGCAAACAAAATACAAGTGGGTGAAGTATAGCCTGGTAATTGAAACAGGTATTTCTGTTTTGTATTACAAAAATAGAAATTATGAGTAGACCTATTAGGTTTAATACTTTCAAGAAAATATTATAGCATGCATAGCTAACGCTACTACCTTTGTACACATGTAACGGATAAAGTAGAAACAAAACCATTGGCTGATCTTTTCTGAAAAGAATATATTTTGACTTGATATTAATAACTTAAGTAACATTTTTTAAGTGAATGTTTCTGAAACTATTTCGCTGTCATAAACAAATAACTTCTTTTGCATTATTACAAAATATGTGTTTACTTTCTACCGCAGGTATAACAATGAATGTTATGCTCATTGGTAGAAGTTATGGCAAATCTTCCTGTAAAAGTACTTTGATGGCAGGAGTTGTACCATCTCATTGCAAGGATTCTATACTTGGATATGAGCTTAAAGATAGAGATTTTATTAATGTATTTGAGGCGCCATCTGTTGAAGACATTTGTATTTTTGAAGAAATGATCAGATTTCATAATTACACAAAAGAAGTTATGAATAGAATTGGAGTATGTATTAATGCTTTCTTAATTGTGCTAAGGTATGGTTTAAGATACACCAAGCAGGATCATGACTTACTTACACATTTAAATGAATATTTTGGACATGATTTCTTAAGAAAATATTGTATTGTTTTGTTTACACACGGTGATATTTTCAGTGATGATTATAAATTGTGTACATTTCAAGAATGGTGTGATTGGCAAGATGGCTACCTGGAACTTTTGTATAAGGCTTGCAACAAACGGTTTATGTTGATGTGTAATAAAGGTGAAGACATTACAAAACAGCAATGTCGTAATAACGTGTTGGCATTGGTGAATCAATTAAGTTTTAAACAAGAACCGTTCACATTGGAAAATTTTAGAAACAACAAACCAGTTCGTGAAAGGCTGTTACTCTCCCTACCATCAACATCTAAAGTACAAGTCATTGCAGTGATTTTTGCTGGCTTTTGTCAAGAAGTAGAAGACATGTTAGAGGCAGATAACATAGACATCGCTGATAGACTACAACACAGAGCTCGCTATCTGAAGGATAGGTTAACTGAAGAAATATCTCAGTTCAAGAGGGCGTTTGAAAAACCGAAGCTTGAGATGGAGAAAAACATGACCGATCTATATAACGTTGATTATAGTCTTCATGTTGTGGGGGATATAATCAGCCGCTGTCAGTTAAATAAAATGTCATTTATATTTGCAAAAAATATTGTAACAGCATTTCGTAAAGAATTTGAAATCTAAAAGAATACTTTAAAGAATAATAATCTCAATTATTTTTGTTATTGTATAATAAAACTTTAGTCAGTAGGCCTGTACAATTTTGATACATAATGTAAAAAATGAAAATTAGTTATTGTTATTAAGGTAAGATGAAATAGATCTTTTATTTTCAACATGTGTACAATTATTTTCAATGTAATATTACTTTTGTTTTCACAATATGTCAACCTTCAGTGTAACATTATTATTTCCAACATTTATTGACTTTCAGTGTAACTTAACTATTTTCAAAATAATATTACTTTTGTTTTCACAATATAGATCTATCAACCTTCAGTGTAACATTATTATTTCCAACATTTATTGACTTTCACTTTCAGTGTAACTTAACTATTTTCAAAATAATATTACTTTTGTTTTCACAATATGTCAACCTTCAGTGTAACATTATTATTTCCAACATTTATCGACTTTCAGTGTGAGTTAACTATTTTCAAAATAATATTACTTTTGTTTTCACAATATGTCAACCTTCAGTGTAACATTATTATTTCCAACATTTATTGACTTTCAGTGTGAGTTAACTATTTTCAAAATAATATTACTTTTGTTTTCACAATATGTCAACCTTCAGTGTAACATTATTATTTCCAATATGTGTCCGCCTACCATGTGACATCAATAACTGATGTTGCTGTGTACGTTAGACATTAAAACTGAACATGTTATTGAGATGAAATGTTTTTGTTTATTAACATCCCTTTCAGGACCAAGGGACACCAGTGTCCCAAATTTTCAAATTATCACCAAATGAAATTGAAATAACATAGAGTTGTTGAATTTGCTTTAAAACATTTATTACATGATAGACTTAATATAAATAAAGTTGCTTTCAGTATATATGATATAGCTTTGTTGTCATATTTATGGGAACTTTGCATTTTTAGACCACTCGCAAAGCTATAGTTTACATTTTTATATAAAAAATACTTACTGTAACAGAAAGAAATTACTGGCTGTTTTTCAAAGGTTTACTATTTAGGTATTATACTTACATGTACTTTTCCTAATAGCTTTGCTTGTTTTTTTTAAAGTAATTTATTTTGCTTGGGACATACATGTCCCTACAGTCTGGAAGGGAGATAACTTTTTTTACAATGTTGCTAAGCATGTGTTTTGGCATTAGAATACAAATAGTTGAAACAGCCTATAACCGACTCAATTATGGAAGTCATTGATAGATGACTGTTAAATTAAAACATACTATATTTTATAATCGATAAACTAATATAAAAATAAGGCCTGCTGTTACGGGTCATTTGAGGTCAGGTTAGAATAGGGTAGAATAATATAGAATTAGGGGAGAGTGCGTGTGTGAGTTGAGTTCACCCTAGAATATTGTTAACCCCGGTGTGTTTAATTAGTATAATTTGCTCTTGAGTAAATGCCTATCACTTTGCATTTTAAGTAGTGTAATTAATTTATCTAGAATTCCTAAGTGCTTTAGATGTTTTCCTTACAAGTACTCTGTAGTATGTGCATACAACATACGGGTGTCACTGAGTGCGGTAAGGGGTCATCCATTTATGACGACCACAATTTTTATTTTGGACGACCCCCCCCCCATGTGTGGACGTCATAAATGGATGGCCCCTAACCATGGGTGCCACCCCCACGCCTTTCACGAATTTTTGCATTTACATGTTAAAGAAACCCCTCTTCCTTGTTTTGATTGGATAAAGCATTATTTTGTGAGTAAATTTTAGTATTTTTTGCTTAGGTGTAACCCCTTTAATAGCGTCACCCGGCGTGGAACACACACCCGCTCCGGCCTAGTGATGATGATATTAGTAAAATGTGTGTGGTTTTTTCCATTATGAAGTGATACGTTTTTTCTGGAAAGAGAGTTTTCATTGTGTGTTCCCAAACCAATCTTGCAAAACACAGGACAATCATTTGTCAAATAAATATTTTTTATTTTGTTTTTAATGTTACAACAACATAAGGCCTACACATCTGAGCTAAAAGTAACAGAACAACATAAAAACTACACAATTGAGCTAAAAGCAACATTGAACAAAAATAAATGTTGTTTTTAATCATATCAATGCATCGCTTTTTGAGCACAGTTAAAAAATATGTCTTTTACTGTAACTACAGTAAATTTAAGACATGCAACATTGTGAATACACAATAAAATGAGCAACAATGTCTAGTTTCTTTTGATAAGATCAGAAATTCATTGTTTTTTTATAAAGGTTCTTAGACATTGTTACAATTAAAACAAGAATCAGAAATTTTGTAGAAAATTTTTAAAAAATGTAAATACTTACAAAATATGGATCTATATAATCTATATATTGCTGTTTATACACCAATAAAAAATGCCACAATTTTCTACATAATACAAAATAAACGAAGTATAAGATCTGAGTGCATTAAAAACTAAGTCAGTTATTATAGGTCCTGCAGTTTGATAGGTCTAAACTATAAAAACATTGTTTGCTTTTAAGTAGTTTTATCTCTGCAACACCACTAAAAATGAGGCAGTATTTAAGGTTTTTTTAAATTTTCTAACCATAAGCTTCACCGCACACATAAATGTAGTCTATATCACAATAAAAAAACACACACAAATAGCTAACTTAAAGGTTTATGTAATATTATAGAGGACAATCATTGGAATTCCATTATTATTATAAAGAGTGGGGAAAAAAAGCAGGCCCTTTTATTTATAACATCATTTTTGATAAATCACAGTTAAAAAACATTGAGTTTTGCTGACACTAAAATAAAAATGGTTAAAAACTACAGTACAAAAATTGAGCAATATTTACAAAACAAATATTTACAAAAGAAATCTAACACATCATGCGCCAATATACAACTTAATACAAGCTTGTATAAACTATTTTTGTGGTACACTTTCAACCAAAAACAATTCTTAAAATCCCAAGTACTCTTACTGCATGGCATCACCAACTTAAAAAAAACAACTTATTTTACAGGAATATTAAATCTTATAGAAGTTATTTTGGTCCACATTTAATAACTTTCATTTGGTCAAAGACGTTAAATCAAGTGCTTATTAATTTGTTGTAATTACAGAATGTTAAGTAGTTGTTTCAAACATTAGAATGTCCTTTTTTCCATAAGGCAACCACAGCAGACTTGAGATACATTTTCTCTTTAAAAGATTTTGTTTTAAACTGCTTGCCATTGGTTTTCATTTCATCGCCACTGTCGTCACTGTTGAGCCCTGCACCTTCGTCCCACGCCTCGTCCTCGGTGTGGATCTCCATCTTCTGTAGTATCATGCGCAGCAGCTGGTTGTTCTTGTCCAGTACTGTACTCATCTCTCGCATCCTGTAGGGTAAATGGGACGTGAAAGTAAAACAAAATGTTGACAATAAATTTAAAAATTTTTTTAAAACTCAATAAATATCAAAATATAATAATTAGATTTTAATCTCCATAATTAATAGAGTGCTCTAAGAGTAAAATCACCATAGAGTGCTCTTCTAGTAATGATTAAAGACGAGAATAAACTGGGTGTCTAGACACCACTGCCTGCAAACTGCATACATGACGATAGCTGCGTCCGTTCAAAACAGGTAAAACTAATGTTGATTTATTTTTTATGACTATAACATCTTGAACTTGAAGTACTTTTATGAGAATCCTATGTTTGTTTTTTATAATACAGAGGTTTGATAGGGGAGTTTCAAAAAAATGAAAATTATTTGGCTGAAACTGAAAGTATTTTTCAAATTTAAAAGATTTTAGTAGAATGACAACAGTCAAACTAAAGTCATATAAAAAAATAACTTTCAGCAGTCTAAAAGCACTGCTATTTTTAGATCTATAGACTTATATCACACCTGACTTTTTGCTTATACATTTCTTCATACAAGTACGAGTTGTGCATTCCTGTTTCATTACATCTGCCATCACTGTCTGCCTTCTTAAATGAAATCATTGAAAAAAACTGGAAATTGAAAGTAAAATAAGTTAATGCACTTGACACAAGAAAGAAGGAAAATAAAAACAAGTGAAATTATAATTTTGAGAAAGTATATGAATATGAGTTCTTGCAGCTAAAATTTTACAATTTGTCAGTATTGTGTTTTAATCCTTACATTTTCCATTTTTTTCTGGCATCTGTTAGGGTACTGTTTATATTCTTCTATTGTTACTCTTCGGTAAATGAACATGGGCATTTTTCTTTCCATGTTAATGTGAAGCTCAACCTATATAGCCAAAAAATTAATTTATAAATAAAATTAAAAAAAAACAGTTTACAATAATATTAAAATTAGCTATGTGTTTGCACATTAAAAACAATGCTAATACTGAATTAAATTTTTTGTAAATAAAATTTGTTTGACCAACCTGCATCGCCAGACGTTTTAGTCTGGCATCTCTCTGCACAGATTCTATGTCACCAACTGCTAAACCAATCTAGAAAAGAAATCTAGCTTTGACTCATACTCTCATCATGTTTTGTAAAAAAATGTAATTAAAAATGTATTTAAATTAAACAATACATTCACAACATAATTTAATTATTTTCAAAATATTTATTGTAATACAAAATATTTAGAAAATTACAATAAAAATAATTCTGCAAAAAAGACATTTAATTCGGAAATAATAATGTAAATTCATTTAATTGATTTTATAAGTCAGTTAAAATGTTTAAGGTAAAAAAAAAAGGTTATTTGTTTTTAAAAAATGACTTAGCTACACTCACCAACAAATTCATCAACAAAATGGGCATGAGCAGTACGAAGATGGTTAGCAGAATCAGAGTGACATTCCCAAAGTGTAGAGTTTCCTCCCTGCCATCAACATACTGGTCATTGAAGGAGGCCATGTAGTCCAGCTCCAACATCATCATGAAGGTCCGCAGGAATGAGAGGCCGGGAGTGGAGTAGGCTTTAGAGTCCTGTGGGACAACACAATCAGTTTAGTGGTCAAGAGAGGCTGGGAGTGGAGTAGGCTTTAGAGTCCTGTGGGTCAACAAAATCAGTTTAGTGGTCAAGAGAGGCTGGGAGTGGAGTAGGCTTTAGAGTCCTGTGGGTCAACACAATCAGTTTAGTGGTCAAGAGAGGCAGGGAGTGGAGTAGGCTTTAGAGTCCTGTGGGTCAACACAATCAGTTTAGTGGTCAAGAGAGGCTGGGAGTGGAGTAGGCTTTAGAGTCCTGTGGGTCAACACAATCAGTTTAGTGGTCAAGAGAGGCTGGGAGTGGAGTAGGCTTTAGAGTCCTGTGGGTCAACACAATCAGTTTAGTGGTCAAGAGAGGCCGGGAGTGGAGTAGGCTTTAGAGTCCTGTGGGTCAACAAAATCAGTTTAGTGGTCAAGAGAGGCTGGGAGTGGAGTAGGCTTTAGAGTCCTGTGGGTCAACACAATCAGTTTAGTGGTCAAGAGAGGCTGGGAGTGGAGTAGGCTTTAGAGTCCTGTGGGTCAACACAATCAGTTTAGTGGTCAAGAGAGGCTGGGAGTGGAGTAGGCTTTAGAGTCCTGTGGGTCAACAAAATCAGTTTAGTGGTCAAGAGAGGCCGGGAGTGGAGTAGGCTTTAGAGTCCTGTGGGTCAACACAATCAGTTTAGTGGTCAAGAGAGGCTGGGAGTGGAGTAGGCTTTAGAGTCCTGTGGGTCAACACAATCAGTTTAGTGGTCAAGAGAGGCTGGGAGTGGAGTAGGCTTTAGAGTCCTGTGGGTCAACACAATCAGTTTAGTGGTCAAGAGAGGCTGGGAGTGGAGTAGGCTTTAGAGTCCTGTGGGTCAACACAATCAGTTTAGTGGTCAAGAGAGGCTGGGAGTGGAGTAGGCTTTAGAGTCCTGTGGGTCAACACAATCAGTTTAGTGGTCAAGAGAGGCTGGGAGTGGAGTAGGCTTTAGAGTCCTGTGGGACAACACAATCAGTTTAGTGGTCAAGAGAGGCTGGGAGTGGAGTAGGCTTTAGAGTCCTGTGGGTCAACACAATCAGTTTAGTGGTCAAGAGAGGCCGGGAGTGGAGTAGGCTTTAGAGTCCTGTGGGTCAACACAATCAGTTTAGTGGTCAAGAGAGGCTGGGAGTGGAGTAGGCTTTAGAGTCCTGTGGGTCAACACAATCAGTTTAGTGGTCAAGAGAGGCTGGGAGTGGGGCTTTAGAGTCCTGTGGGTCAACACAATCAGTTTAGTGGTCAAGAGAGGCCGGGAGTGGAGTAGGCTTTAGAGTCCTGTGGGTCAACACAATCAGTTTAGTGGTCAAGAGAGGCTGGGAGTGGAGTAGGCTTTAGAGTCCTGTGGGTCAACACAATCAGTTTAGTGGTCAAGAGAGGCTGGGAGTGGAGTAGGCTTTAGAGTCCTGTGGGTCAACACAATCAGTTTAGTGGTCAAGAGAGGCTGGGAGTGGAGTAGGCTTTAGAGTCCTGTGTGACAACAATCAGTTTAGTGGTCAAGAGAGGCTGGGAGTGGAGTAGGCTTTAGAGTCCTGTGGGACAACACAATCAGTTTAGTGGTCAAGAGAGGCCGGGAGTGGAGTAGGCTTTAGAGTCCTGTGGGTCAACACAATCAGTTTAGTAGTCAAACATAAGGTCCTTGTGTAATACTTTTTTAGCGCAATTTCCATTCTGGAGAATTGCGTTTATTAACTCGTCTTTTCTGGGAATGGATGGATGGATGGATGGATGTGTGTCCGCAGCTTTAAGTCGTATCTCCTCCTCAACGAAGCAATATCAAGGACTAGTTCCAAAAGCAATTATGTTAAGCAAGTTACGAGGATGAACATAGGCTATAAAAATTCCGGGTTTCTTTCATGGATTTCCCGGAAAAGCCAAAAAACCTCGAACAAATGCAGTTTTTTGCCCATATCTCGGCAACCAGACCACTTAGCGACTTGAAACATGTACCAATCGATTCCTGCCATAATTTAGAACTATATTGCCGAAGAAAGTTTTCAAAAATATCCTTTCGTTCGGTCACAAAAAATTTTTTTAATTAATTAAAATTTGGACCGAATTAGTAGGCATTTTATGCAACCACACCACACGCGTCATCACGTTCAATAGCTGCGCCATCACGTTCAATGGCTGCGACGTCACGTTTGGTAGCTGGGCGCGCAATGGTTTTTAGTCATGTTACTCTATTGTAAATAAAACATGTAAAATACTGAAAAAAAATTAATAAAAAACGTTTTAATAACTAACCAATGGTTTTACTAACCCTGCTCTTGATTTACGCTACGACAGAGCTATTTTTAGATAACACAAGGAAATTGCGCTAAAATTGTCACTAGACTTTTTTTAATTACTTGTTTTAAAACTGATTTAAGAAACGATATAACTTAATAAATGGTCTCATAAATTCCAACTTGATAGGAACTACAGAACCTGTTGGGATATCTTTGCTCAAAGTGTCAGGGTGTTGATATATATTTAGAATTATATTGCTTAACAGGAATTTGAATATTTAATGAACAAATAATGTATTACCAGTAATTTCATTTTAACTACGAACATAAAACAAGCACACAGTTTATTTTTTTTAAATTTTGATCTGGATTCTAGATGTAATATAATAAAAACAGGGAAAATGAAGATATTTGACAAAAACTAATATTTACTTTAGATAATACAAGATTACGCTTTAAATATTTTAAAATATTTCTTATTAAAACAAATAAAATTACATCAACAATACTTACTTCTTGAAAGAGCAGCATGTAAAATGACAGGCCAAACGCAATAATCAGGATGGAGAAAACACACAGAACTTGAACTAAAGTCCGTAAAATTTCCAGGAACATCACAACATAGATGCCGAAGAAGTCAAATCTAAAATACATTCAATCAATGAATGAAAAACATATGACAAGTCTATGTTAAATTAATGCAAAGTTCAGCTGCTCAACCTGATTGAAACATTAGCAAGCTGTATTTGACTTTGTAACTTTTTTAATTAAAAAAAAACAACAGACAGAGTTATGTCTAAAGCACATACTAGTTACAAGCAAAGTTTAAAAAAATATTGTTTACCTCTGAAGAAAGACCAGGCAGTTGAACCATGCCAGGAACACGGCCACCGCCCCAGCTTCCCACTGCCAGTGTAAGGACTTTTGGCACAAGAACGGCGTGACAAAGAGAAGTGTGGAGATGTACAGTGCCCACTCTAGGCCATTACCCATGTCAGCAAAGTAGCGCAGCTTCTGCAAGTTGACAAATTAAATACACAGATAATTACCTTTAAAAATGATAATGATGTCTTTTTGTTTTTATTAGAATGTGTATTTTTAATGTATTATGTTACTTTTAAATGGCTGAAATTCTTTTAATTTCTGGAGGTTTAAGTGAAAATTTTTTTTCTTATGATTAGACCTACAACTTGCAATTTGGAATTGGCCTACTTAAATAGTTAAACAAAATTTACTCTTTATTTAGTTTGAGTCAGAAAACAAAGTGCCAATTTCAGGCCTTTTGCTCAAAGATAAATTTAACAGCATGAAACAGTTGTTTATTAAACATTTATTTTGTCGCCTACAAAATTATCAGAACCAGAGTTTACATAAGAATTACCTGTGTTATTAACTGTGCTATTTCCTTAATGACATTCAAAATACTGTAGATCCCAATAAACCAGAGACAGACCACATACAAGGGAGTGAACTGGTACCCATCTTCCAAATTTCCATGGAGGTATTGCACGGTAGAGTTAGAGTCACAATCAGAATCATGGTGCTACAGGACAATATATGAACAAAAATTCAGATGGGATGAATACCCCACTTTTAAAAAAAAAATGTTCACATTATATTGCAGGCTGACTTCTAAAAATTAGAATCAGCTAAAAATTAATGAGTCAAACTTTTATGACTTACCATGAGAGAGTTATGATGCACAACAAAGCTTGTAAGAGATGCTAAAAATAGTATGTATACAAGTAAGTATGCTGTGTAGAACCACACACCATATCTTTTCCTGGAAAATATGAAATAAATAATTTATTTCACCAAAAAAAAAAATGTTAAAACTTTGCAGATTTCAGTGAAATAACACAAAACCCATACGGTTCAAATTATCTTTTGTGATACCAGCTATATTTGATTAATGATGTCCATTGGCTGTCATTTGGTGGGAATTTTTAATTACATTGTCTAAGCTATTGAAACTTCAAGAAACAGACTCACTAATTTACAAAAAAATGTGACAACAGCATTTGTTTAACTGACTATCTGACTTCAATATAAATTATAACAACAACATGTCACCAGTCTTACATGTGACAACAAACTAACCATTTAACTTAAATGTGACAACTAACTCACCAATAGACTTAATTGCGACAATAAACTAACCATTTAACTTAAATGTTTCAAAAAACTCACTATCTGACTTAAATGTGACAACAAACTCACCATTTAACTTGAAGAAATGTCACACACACAGGATGAGAGAGACAGTCAACCCTGTTATTTTTTACCATAGCCTGCAAAATGAGACATTTATTTTTTCATTAAACTACACAACAAATTATCCTACTACTACTACTAGGCTATATTATTTGAGATTCTTTTCTTGAACTAGTCAATGGAACCAGGGCACATTGTGAGTTAGCCACTTTTAGTTCAAGTCACTTGGAAAATTTATAAAGAGAAATTTAACAACTTTTACCATAATGAGCTTTTAAATGCACAAGAAAAAAGCAACTAACATACATTTTCATTAGCTGTATTTGACAAATTCTATTCGTAAAATAAAAAGTGTTAATTGCAACATGTAGTGTAAACATCTCTAGAATAACCAATGCTTTTATTTTTTACTATTATAACTGAAGAGAAGTTGTGTTTATTTTCTCATTTTTAAATCTCTTTAATTTTTTTAAAACCTTGTTGTCATTATTTTATTCTACTTCTAACTTTTTTTCCAAAATCTTCCCATAAACACAAGTTTGTTGTGTAGTACAATAAACTCAAATGAGCCCAATCTTTTGCTCTGTGTTTTGTAAAACTTTAGTCTTGAAATTGTAATCGACCCACGGACAAAAGTACGTTCCCTCTGTGTTTTGTAAAACTTTAGTCTTGAAATTGTAATCGACCCACGGACAAAAGTACGTTCCCTCTGTGTTTTGTAAAACTTTAGTCTTGAAATTGTAATCGACCCACGGACAAAAGTACGTTCCCTCTGTGTTTTGTAAAACTTTAGTCTTGAAATTGTAATCGACCCACGGACAAAAGTACGTTCCCTCTGTGTTTTGTAAAACTTTAGTCTTGAAATTGTAATCGACCCACGGACAAAAGTACGTTCCCTCTGTGTTTTGTAAAACTTTAGTCTTGAAATTGTAATCGACCCACGGACAAAAGTACGTTCCCTCTGTGTTTTGTAAAACTTTAGTCTTGAAATTGTAATCGACCCACGGACAAAAGTACGTTCCCTCTGTGTTTTGTAAAACTTTAGTCTTGAAATTGTAATCGACCCACGGACATAAGTACTTTCCCTCTGTGTTTTGTAATACTTTAGTCTTGAAATTGTAATCGACCCACGGACTTACGTTAAGTGACATCATGGGAACAACACCTTCATGGTCTTTAGAGTTCCTGGTGGCCTCCAGACAACTAGTGGGCGTGTCCAGGTACCTGAAGTTGTAGGTGATCTGTTGAGGGAGATGTGGGATAACTCTAAGTTAGTGGTGGTAAGGTTTTTGGTTGTCGATTATATAATTAGTATTGATAAATGTTAAAGCTTTAGTAAGCTTTTTTCTGACTAGTGCTTTAGTGTGCAAGCTTTTGGCTAAGACTAAACTAGACCAAACTAGACTAAATTAGAGTAATCTTGACTTTAGAGCTGAATTGTGAACTGTAGCCAAACTATAAGTCTTGTCTTACATGATAGTTTGGACTTTTAGGATCATCTTGTGATGGTATCTGGCATCTGTCTAGAACATTCTGGGGGAAAAATGAACGATGTATTTAAAAATAGCCTTCATGATAAAGAAATATTAATATTGTTCTTTTTAGCGCAATTTCCATTCTGGAGAATTGCGTTTATTAACTCGTCATTTCTGGGAATGGATGGATGGATGGATGAATGTGTGTCCGGGCTTTAAGTCGTATCTCCTCCTCAACGAAGCAATATCGATGAATAGTTCCAAAAGCAATTATGTTAAGCAAGTTACGAGAATGAGCATAGGCCATAAAAATTCCGGGTTTCTTTCATGTATTTCCCGGAAAAGCCAAAAAACCTCGAAAAAATTCAGTTTTTGGCCCATATCTCGGCAACCAGACCACTTAGCGACTTGAAACATGTACCAATCGATTCCTGTCATAATTTAGAACAATATTGCCGAAGAAAGTTTTCAAAAATATTCTCTCGTTCGGTCACAAATTTTAAAATTACATAAACACCTACAAACCGATTGTTCTTCTAGCTTGAACGCACCCCAACATTATACGTCAGAGCTATTTTTAGATAACATAAGGAAATTGCGCACAAATGTCACTAGACTTTTTTAATTAACTTGTTTTTTAGATGTCATGTCAAAAGATTTTACCGTCCTTCATCAGACATTGAATGATAATGCTAAGCAATAAGCAAGTTTCCCCTTACCCCCGCCCACTCCTCCCCCCCCCCCCCCCATCCCACAAACTAAACTTATCAAACTTACCAAGCAAACAGCAGGCAGATGCTCTATCAGTCCCAGAACAAAACAGCCGTAGACATTTGAGCAGGTCTGCAGAACCTCTTCCCACCTGGAAAACAAAAAAAATATTTTCTCTGTATTAAAAACTGTCGACTTATAAAGTTTTCTCGTTGGGAGTTGAATTTCATAGTTGTTTGTTTTTTTAAATTAATAAGCATTTAGATAACTATAAAAATGGCAACATCCCCATGATTGGTGTTTTAAATAACAAGCATTTTGATAACTATTAAAATGGCAATACCCCCATGATTGGTGTTTTAAATAACAAGCATTTAGATAACTATTAAAATGGCAACACCCCCATGATTGGTGTTTTAAATAACAAGCATTTAGATATCTATTAAAATGGCAACACCCTCAGGATTGGTGTCCTTGTTTATCACTAATAGGCTACCTCACTCCCAAATATATCGTCACGACAATTCATATCTCTTTCTGATGTGAAGTAACTATTCAAGACATAACTCAAATTACATTTTTTTTTCTTTCGGGAAACATCACTTATCAAACATTTTCTATTGATGAAATTCTGTTTCAATTTCCAAATATGGTATTTTAAAAAAAAGAAATCATCATTTCTTCCCGTTCGTCACAAAGACAAATGGGGTAGATGAAGTAGAGTTTATCTTTTTCAAAACCTGGGGAAACAAAGGGATAGTGTGGTCAGCCCTATGACCAGCCGTCTTTGTTTCCCTATCTGGGTATCCATAGCTGGGTGGACTAAGGGACGTTTTACTGGTTTGTGCCCGGATTCGAACTCGAGACTTACGGATTAGCAGCCTAGAGCTCTACCGCTAGGCCACAGCAGAAATAAATGCTGATAACTACTTTCCCGATTTTTCTCTTCGCCACGCTAAAGTCTGAAATCTCCCCCCACCCACGTCCCAAGAATTATGACGTCATTTTAAACTCCCCTTTACCTCTCGTGGTTGATGGTGGCCACAGCAACCTCCGTGAACTTGTACTGAATGACGTAATCAAAGAAGGCGAGCCCCTGGTGGTTCTTCAACAGCTTGGCCCCCATGGTCAGCAGGAGGGTGGTGGCCGAGGTCTGGCCATTCTTGGCCGCGATGTGCAGGGCCGTGTCCTGACGGCCAACAGTGGCCAAACATTAGTCACACAGCTCAACATTTTATTCACCAAACATTAGTCACACAGCTCAACATTTTATTCACCAAACATTAGTCACACAGCTCAACATTTTATTCACCAAACATTAGTCACATAGCTCAACATTTTATTCACCAAACATTAGTCACATAGCTCAACATTTGATTCACCAAACATTAGTCACATAGCTCAACATTTTATTCACCAAACATTAGTCACACAGCTCAACATTTTATTCACCAAACATTAGTCACACAGCTCAACATTTTATTCACCAAACATTAGTCACATAGCTCAACATTTTATTCACCAAACATTAGTCACATAGCTCAACATTTTATTCACCAAACATTAGTCACACAGCTCAACATTTTATTCACCAAACATTAGTCACATAGCTCAACATTTTATTCACCAAACATTAGTCACACAGCTCAACATTTTATTCACCAAACATTAGTCACATAGCTCAACATTTGATTCACCAAACATTAGTCACATAGCTCAACATTTTATTCACCAAACATTAGTCACATAGCTCAACATTTGATTCACCAAACATTAGTCACATAGCTCAACATTTTATTCACCAAACATTAGTCACATAGCTCAACATTTTATTCACCAAACATTAGTCACATAGCTCAACATTTGATTCACCAAACATTAGTCACATAGCTCAACATTTTATTCACCAAACATTAGTCACATAGCTCAACATTTTATTCACCAAACATTAGTCACATAGCTCAACATTTGATTCACCAAACATTAGTCACATAGCTCAACATTTTATTCACCAAACATTAGTCACACAGCTCTAGATTTTATTCACCAAACATTAGTCACACAGCTCAACATTTTATTCACCAAACATTAGTCACATAGCTCAACATTTTATTCACCAAACATTAGTCACATAGCTCAACATTTTATTCACCAAACATTAGTCACACAGCTCTAGATTTTATTCACCAAACATTAGTCACACAGCTCAACATTTTATTCACCAAACATTAGTCACACAGCTCAACATTTTATTCACTCAATTTACGAAGTATTCTTTTTTCGTGTTAGTGTTAAGAACATAAGCTAAACTAAACGATAAATGCAATTATAGACTCTATTTTAATTGTATTTGTTGAACAAAAATTAAATTTTAAAATATATTTGGGTCCCGTTGTTTGAATGTATTTAGTTTTTATAACCAATGGGTCATCCCTAAATGACGTCACGCTTTTTTGGACGATTTTTACCCACCCCCCTCCGTCACACATCGTCACAAAAAGCCAGACCCCCCCCCCCCCCTAAAATGACGTCACACCTCAGCCTAAAACCACCCTTAAAACTGCTGTTGAATTTTTCTTTAAACATCGATATTTTTCCAAAATCTTGTCTGTCACCATAGGGTATTTTAATCAAATTCCTATAACAATTTATTAAAACAATTTTCTATAACGCGAAATCAAGGCTAAAACTCGTTGTTTTTTATAATGCAAAAGTGTGACGTCACACCATTTGAACCACCCCCTCCCCCTCATCACACACCATCACAAAATTACGTACCCCCTCCCCCCCCCCCCACGAGTGTCACGTCATTTATGGACGACCCCCAAGTTGCTTGTTTTTTTTTACCCTGATCTTCCAAGCTACCAACTTCACAAAACTCACCAGCGCATAAATACATTTATAAGAAGTTCTATCCTTCCCCTTTAAGTATACCACTTTAGTATTGAAATAATGCGAGGTCTATCCTACCTCTACTGTAAAATACTGAGTGAAGGTCTATCCTCCCTACTGTTTAACAATTGATTGAAGGTCTGACCTACCCCTTATGTTAAGCTATAGAGTGAAGGTCTGACCTACCCCTTATGTTAAGCTATAGAGTGAAGGTCTGACCTACCCCTTATGTTAAGCTATAGAGTGAAGGTCTGACCTACCCCTAATGTTAAGCGATAGAGTGAAGGCTTGACCTACCCTTTATCTTAATTGATAGAGTGAAGGTCTGACCTACCCTTTATGTTAAGCTACAGAGTGAAGGTCTGACTTACCCCTACTGTAAAGCTATAGAGTGAAGGTCTGACCTACCCCTACTGTAAAGCTATAGAGTGAAGGTCTGACCTACCCCTTATGTTAAGCTATAGAGTGAAGGTCTGACCTACCCCTAATGTTAAGCGATAGAGTGAAGGCTTGACCTACCCTTTATCTTAATTGATAGAGTGAAGGTCTGACCTACCCTTTATGTTAAGCTACAGAGTGAAGGTCTGACTTACCCCTACTGTAAAGCTATAGAGTGAAGGTCTGACCTACCCCTACTGTAAAGCTATAGAGTGAAGGTCTGACCTAACTATTGACTTATTGTGTGAAGGTCTGACCTACCCCTTCTAGGTTGGCGGCGTCCATCAGGTTAGCGTGAACCCCGAGAATGACCTTCATACTGTGTGTCCAGCCGTGGGCAGCGGCATGGTGTAGGGCAGTGTTGTCATCGTTGTCTCTGTGGGCATAGGATAGGGCATTGAGAGGGGGAGGGCATGGTGTAGGGCAGTGTTGTCATCGTTGTCTCTGTGGGCATAGGATAGGGCATTGAGAGGGGGAGGGCATGGTGTAGGGCAGTGTTGTCATCGTTGTCTCTGTGGGCATAGGATAGGGCATTGAGAGGGGGAGGGCATGGTGTAGGGCAGTGTTGTCATCGTTGTCTCTGTGGGCATAGGATAGGGCATTGAGAGGGGGAGGGCATGGTGTAGGGCAGTGTTGTCATCGTTGTCTCTGGGGCATAGGATAGGGCATTGAGAGGGGGAGGGCATGGTGTAGGGCAGTGTTGTCATCGTTGTCTCTGTGGGCATAGGATAGGGCATTGAGAGGGGGAGGGCATGGTGTAGGGCAGTGTTGTCATCGTTGTCTCTGTGGGCATAGGATAGGGCATTGAGAGGGGGAGGGCATGGTGTAGGGCAGTGTTGTCATCGTTGTCTCTGTGGGCATAGGATAGGGCATTGAGAGGGGGAGGGCATGGTGTAGGGCAGTGTTGTCATCGTTGTCTCTGTGGGCATATGATAGGGCATTGAGAGGGGGAGGGCATGGTGTAGGGCAGTGTTGTCATCGTTGTCTCTGTGGGCATAGGATAGGGCATTGAGAGGGGGAGGGCATGGTGTAGGGCAGTGTTGTCATCGTTGTCTCTGTGGGCATATGATAGGGCATTGAGAGGGGGAGGGACATTGAGGGTGGGAAAAGCTTAAGAGTTTTTACTGGGGCCATCCTGCTACAGTACAAATCTGGGGCCATGTTGTTACAGTACTGGGGCCATGTTGTTACAGTACTGGGGCCATGTTGTTACAGTACTGGGGCCATGTTGTTACAGTACTGGGGCCATGTTGTTACAGTACTGGGGCCATGTTGTTACAGTACTGGGGCCATGTTGTTACAGTACTGGGGCCATGTTGTTACAGTACTGGGGCCATGTTGTTACAGTAAAGTCTGGGGTCATGTTGTTACAGTAAAGTCTGGGGCCATGTTGTTACAGTACTGGGGCCATCCTGCTACCACTTACTTGTTGACAACAGCGCCCCTCTGTAGCAGCAGCTGTATGACCTTCGTGTGGCCATTCTGTGCGGCTATGTGTAGAGCTGTCAGACCTGACCCGTCCGTCTCATTGATGATGTTCGGTCCGTGATGGCTGTCTAGCAACCTCCGGCATGTGTTGTACCGGCCGTACCTACAGGAACATGCAACGTTACTCCATCATTCATCTGGATGTGTATGGTTAAATTATAGTAGACACACACTTTGTTCATACTGCATTGTTAACTTCAAAACCGTGAATATCGTAAGTTCGCGGATAGCTAGGTGCGAAATAAAATGGTCGCAGATTACTTGACTACAAAATGAAATGATCGCAGATTACCTGGCTGCGAAATGAAATAATTGCAGATTACCTGGCTATGAAATGAAATGGTCGCAAATTACCTGGCTGCGAAATGAAAGGGCGATTGCTTCTGATTGTTCTTGAGGTTGAGAACCGCCCCCATCCTGATGAGGTCATCCAGGGCCAGTAGGTGACCCTCTTTAGTGGCATAGTGCAGCGGTGTGCAGCCGAAGTCGTCCTTCTCGTTCTGGAGGTTCTTGATGTCCTAGAAGATAGCGGAGGGTGGAAACTACTGGTGAAAACTGGTCGTCTTGCAGATTTTCAGGAGTTAAAGCTACATTTTTAAATTTGAATGTAATAAGTGCTGTAGCGATTTTCTATCTGAGGCAGCCGTTTATTATTAGTTCAAGAATCCACCAACAGCCACAAGATCCAATACCATCCACAAACCATCCACTACAATCCACCTTCACCAGCAAGATGGACACCCACCTTGATAAAATCTCCGCCGATTTGTTCGAGTTTCCCGCCAAATTTGACCGCCAGATGCAGAAAATTTCGGTTGTTTTTGTCTTTGACGTGCACGTCTGCTCCCTTGTAGATGAGCAGCTGGACGGCGCCCCAGCACCCTTTGGAGGCCGCGAGAAGCAGGGGCGTCCTCTCGTTAATGTCGCGGCAGTCAATGTCGGCGCCCTGTATGGAATATACGGGTAATGTAACTAAATGATTGTAGAATATCTCACTGCAAAAACAGTGTGTAGGGCTATGCATCAGTGGTGGCTAATTATCACACGAACACAGTCGAATTTTAAAATTATTATAATATCTCAGCAGATGAACTTAAACTTGAATTCTTTCCTTTTAAGCACTACAGAGTTGGTCTTTTGAGAATAATTTGCACTAATAAAAAAACAAAGTGGCCACGACAGCGTACACAATAGGATAACATCATACACAATACGGTAACAAAACAAACCTGTAACAAAGTGGACATGACAGCGTATACAAAACGATAACAAAGTGGCCAAGACAACGTACACAACCCTGTAACAAAGTGGCCAAGACAACGTACACAACCCTGTAACAAAGTGGCCAAGACATCGTACACAACCCTGTAACAAAGTGGCCAAGACATCGTACATAACCCTGTAACAAAGTGGCCAAGACAGCGTACACAACAAGACAACAAAGTGGCCAAGACAACGTACACAACAAGGCCATAAGACGTACATGTTCCAGCAGATACTCCATGACAGGGATGTGGTTGAAGAGAGCGGCTCTGTGCAGGGGCGTCATCTTCATGACGTCCAGACTTAGCACGGCGGCGAGGAAGTTCTCCTGCTGGATCTCCTCCATCAGCTTGATCATGTCCATGTTACCCTGGGCGCAGGCGAAGTGCAGGGGCGTCGACCCGTCGTCCTGGCGTATGGTGATTTGTTGAAGTTTATGTACGACATAATTATAGAGCAGATGGGGAGTACTGACGTTATTTTTAGGGAGGGAATTTACGTAATTTGGTATCTCTAAAAAAGAAGAACCACTGCTGTAACAACTTACTTGCTGAGCTTTAACTGAGGCCCCTGCTTTGAGACACACCCTGACAGCCTGGTGGGGGGGGGGGGATAGTAAAAGTTTTTTTTCTTCAGTTTTTACATCAACAACAAAATTGGCAATATTTGAGTGCTTGTGCTAAAATGTTATAACTTGGCCATGGTGATCATATCGAATATTGCTATTAAATCATTTTTTTAGAAGTTTTTAATTTGAAAGGTTGTTTAACTCTTGCTATTGTGTAATTACCAATTGTGTGTTCAGCTTTTCAACACACAAGTTACATGTCTATTTTTAAAGTTAATGAAAAGTTATATTATTTCACTTATCACTCGTCATGGTAAAAACCAGGACGCTCCAGATTTGAGCATCTTTGAAATATTCTTGAGACCAAAATAGAGAGGTGTCTCTATAGAGCACTGGTTTTATCTTTTGTCATTTTCTTACCTTGATATCGCCTCCGTTAACTGCTGCGTGCAAGGGGAGATTATTCTCCCTGTCCTTGAACGACAGGATTTGCTCCCTTGTGTAACCATTTTTTATTGCTAAACATAGACAGAAAACATGTTGATGATATGTAGCAGCCATTGGTATGTACATTTCTTTATTAAAATTATTGTTCTATAATGTTAACATCCAGATGTGTACTCACATTATGATGTTATCATCTAGACATGGACTCACACAATGATGTTAACATCTTGACATGTACTCACACAATGATGTTAACATCTTGACATGTACTCACACAATGATGTTATCATCTAGACATGGACTCACACAATGATGTTAACATCTATAAATGTACTCACATTATGATGTTAACATCTATAAATGTACTCACATTATGATGTTAACATCTATAAATGTACTCACATTATGATGTTAACATCTATAAATGTACTCACATTATGATGTTAACATCTATAAATGTACTTACATAATGATGTTTGCATCTAGACATGTTCTCACACAATGATGTTAACATCTCGACATGTACTCACACAATGATGTTAACATCTATAAATGTACTCACGCAAAGATGTTAACATCTATCAATGTACTCACACAATGATGTTTGCATCTAGACAAGTACTCACACAAAGATGATTGCATCTATAAATGTACTCACACAAAGATGTTAACATCTATAAATGTACTCACACAAAGATGTTAACATCTATAAATGTACTCACACAATGATGTTTGCATCTAGACAAGTACTCACACAATGATGTTAACATCTAGACATGTACTCACACAAAGATGTTAACATCTATAAATGTACTCACACAATGATGTTAACATCTAGACATGTACTCACATTGTTCTATGATGGCCTCCATAGCACTGGCCGCAGCACATTTGGCCGCCATGTGGATGGGGTAGTACCCAAAGTCGCACTTAGCACACGGTTTACCCCCTTTCTCCATCTGTTACAGACAAAATTATAGAGTCAATTACCTCCCCTTGTCCACATATTAGAGACGAAGTTTTAGAATCAAATTTTTCTTTGGTTATCTGAGATAGCAAAACAAAGACCAACATCTTATATTTTACTTTGTACTTCTGTATACTAGTATGGTTTTTACTGTCTACTATAGTAAACGAAACATACGATTTTAAGAAACTTTTTGTGTAAGTTCGTGCAATCAGTAAAACTTGCCGAAAATAAAAACTAGAAAATTCATTATACGTACTACCGCAGTGTGTAGATATACAACAAAATTCGGGGCTCAATCTTTTAAAAATGAGCGCCGGTATAAAATCTGGATTCGTAGTTCAACTCTCATTATATCATTATTTACCACAACAAAAATATTATTTGATATCCGTGCAAATCACACAGTGCCTTATACAAAACCAAGTTTCGAAGTTTGTGAATCTATAACACTGACTTAAATAAACCTTACCATAATCTTCAAGTTCCGAAGTTTGTGAATCTATGACACTGACTTAAATAAACCTTACCATAATCTTCAAGTTCCGAAGTTTGTCAATCTATGACACTGACTTAAATAAACCTTACCATAATCTTCAAGTTCAGAAGTTTGTCAATCTATAACACTGACTTAAATAAACCTTACCATAATCTTCATGGCCTCTCCGTTGTCTTTGGCAGCGGCGTAGTGCAGGGCCGTCATCCCAGACTCACCCCGACTGTTGGGGTCAACGCCATTGTCCAGCAGGGCCTGGAATAGACAGACATAGAACTGACTAGTTGGTAGAGAAGCTTATCTATGACGTTGTCATTTATGGATGTTTTTCCTGGTAGTCTTTGATGGCTTAGAATTAGACCGTGCAGTTAACGTATGGAAACTAGAGGGTTGGCATTTTTCTGACCCCCCCCCCCTCCACTCAGATTTGTATAGGGCAGAAAATTGTCCAAATACCACTGGAAATAGACATAATGCTGTCTGATGGAAATAGACATAATGCTATCTGATGGAAATAGACATAATGCTGTCTGATGGAAATAGACATAATGCTGTCTGATGGAAATAGACATAATGCTATCTGATGGAAATAGATATACTGCCCATCTGATGGAAATAGACATACTGCTGTCTGATTAGGTTATGTGGATTAAGCTGGGAGATTAAGGAAAAATTAGATTTGGTTGAGAATTGTATTCAGTGAATATAGATCAAGCGAAAAGTAAGTGAATTAATCTAGAGAAAAATGAATTCAGCTGGGAAGATTTTCATGCAAGGGTTGTAACAAGAAAGAAGACACGATTTTATTGTCTTATGTTTCAACACACAAAGTCTGACACAACTAAACAATTAGAACTACACAAAAGAACAACCAAAGTCACTAGACCATGACAATTAGAACTACACAAGAGAACTACAAACACTAAAAGTCACCAGACCATGACAATTAGAACTACACAAGAGAACTACAAACACTAAAAGTCACCAGACCATGACAATTAGAACTACACAAGAGAACTACAAACACTAAAAGTCACCAGACCATGACAATTAGAACTACACAAGAGAACTACAAACACTAAAAGTCACCAGACCATGACAATTAGAACTACACAAGAGAACTACAAACACTAAAAGTCACCAGACCATGACAATTAGAACTACACAAGAGAACTACAAACACTAAAAGTCACCAGACCATGACAATTAGAACTACACAAGAGAACTACAAACACTAAAAGTCACCAGACCATGACAATTAGAACTACACAAGAGAACTACAAACACTAAAAGTCACCAGACCATGACAATTAGAACTACACAAGAGAACTACAAACACTAAAAGTCACCAGACCATGACAATTAGAACTACACAAGAGAACTACAAACACTAAAAGTCACCAGACCATGACAATTAGATCTACACAAGAGAACCAACAAACACACAGACCTTGACAACATCCAGGTTCGGTAACTCCGCCGCCACATGTATGGGCATCATGTGCTGCATGTTCTTGATGCTGGTGTCTGCGCCATTTTTGATCAACAAGTCCACAATTTTGTCGAACCCAGCCAGGACCGCCAGATGTAGACATGTGTTGCCTTGGTTGTCAACAACGTCCAGCTCTAGAATACAAACATAGTTACCTCCCGTTACAACTGAGTTACCTCCCATTAAAACTGAGTTACCTCCCATTAAAAAATGAGTTACCTCCCATTGCAAATATAGTTACCTCCCATTACAAACTGAGTTACCTCCCATTACAAACATAGTTACCTCCCATTACAAACTGAGTTACCTCCCATTACAAACATAGTTACTTCCCATTACAAACTGAGTTACCTCCCATTACAAACTGAGATACCTCCCATTACAAACTGAGTTACCTCCCATTACAAACTGAGATACCTCCCATTACAAACTGAGATACCTCCCATTACAAACTGAGATACCTCCCATTACAAACTGAGATACCTCCCATTACAAACTGAGATACCTCCCATTACAAACTGAGATACCGTCCATGACAAACAATATTACATTATAAACATAAATTAATTTCCTTAACATTGTCCTAGATATAACACAAGCAAAAAATATTATACTAACACAATTTTAATGCTTTATAAATAAGAAAGAAAACAATCTTTCTGTAGTAAAAACGTTGGTCTATTATAGCAAAATATTTGTGTTATTGCCTTATTTTTAGTGCATTTAAAAGCTTGGTGTTATAAAGGTTTTTATCAGGGGCGGAACTACAGTGCCGCCAGACCCCGCAATGCGGGGGGGCCCAGACCAATTGGGGGCCCAAAAATCATGGCTAAATTATTTTTAAAAAAATAAAAAAATTAGGTGGAGGTCGAGTTATCTTTCTTCTACAGTTACAAACAAACACGATAGTCGGCAAACGTCTTTGAGAATAATGCACTGACTATAGCTCGAGAGACCGCCAGACATATAGACAACTTCAAAGACGAAGCATCTGAAATTTGACTGTGCCGGTACGCTTTGAAATCGGGCTGGGGAAATGTTGCGGCGAGGCGACTATCCTGGTCTTCTAGACGACCGGAAAAAGTCGGCACTATTGATGTAGATGTTTATCGGCGCTTTCTTGTCCCCTTCCCTTCCCAACTCTCTCCCCCCCCCCTCCCCCCTACCCCTCACTTCTACCCCTCACCACACCCTTACTCTTACAATAAGATGTAATGCATAGATTAACGAACCGTCTATGAACTGTAAACTGACCACTTCTGCACATTTTGTTAAAGACACTAGTCAGTAGTTGTTCATTTACCTGATGAACAGGGGCGGAACTACAGTCCCGCCAAACCCCGCAATGCGCGGGGGGGGGGGGGGGGAAGGCCGTTTAGGGGCCCACGGCTGACCAAAAAAATTTTTTTTTTTAATTTTGAATTTAATTTTTGCCTTAATATTTGGTTTGTAAAAGAAAAACACTGTAGCTGCGGTACGATTATCTTTATTTTACAGTCACTATACCACGCTCTTCCGCAAAAGATAAAATTCATTACACAAACTACAGTGTAAAATATAAGCAACTCTTCAAATTTTGAATGACTTCTTTGACTCGTTGCCCCCCCCCCTCCCCTCCCTTTGATAGCTAAATAGAGGACACGTAACTGTTTGACCGATCCTCCAAAGTATACTGTGGCGGATGGGGCAGGGGATGGGGACCAAAAAGGGGGTTAAAAAATTGTCGACAAATTCTTTACATATTTAAAACAGTTATTTATAGTTGTATTTTTTAACCATCGTCAAGGCCGAGTTCTATTTCCCTACAATCAAACACACGCTGTCGCCGGCAAAATTCTTTTTTAAAAAACAACAAAGTCCATAGCACGAAAAGCCGCTACATATGAAGTGGGCTTTCAATACTTTCATGATGCGCGGTTCATAATTGCGGCATTGGTAGGGGACCCGAAATCCATTGTACATTTTTCAATGTTAATATGTGTTTGTGATAGTGGTTGAATTTGTATCCTGTACTATCTTGTATCGTACAAATAATTTTAAAAAAATAATATAATACTAGAAACTTCAGTTTTATATACGTTTACTTGTTTTTGATTTTACAAGAAATATAGTAAACTTTTAAGGCCTATACTTCAAATTATCTCCCCTGAGTAAGTTTTACAATGGGCGATGCTGGCGTACATAGATCAAGGCGTTTTGTTGTCCCTTTCAAGTTTTTTCCCGAGCCGACCCCTATCCCATCCCTCTTTCTCAACCTCACAAGTATCGAGGAGATAAATGTATCGTTTATGAACTACTTCCTAACCGTACGATTCACCACTTCAGCACATTTTGTCAGACACTAGACAGCACTAGATCTAGTCAACACATATTAATTTACTTTCATAGTATTAGGCACATCTAATTCACAAAACAGGGCAGGTAAGATTATTTTTTATATAATTATTTAGAAATTAATTAGAACGTTTAGAATTAATTGAACATTATTAATAGTCATTCAGGTGTGGGTGTGTGAGCGTTTGGCTTTTTGTTAATCCCCCCCTCCCCTAAATCAGAAGGTTATCCAACGCGTGACCTGGCCACATACAGTTGTACATGTGAAAAACATTTTTCTCTCTATTATTATTATGCATTACTGCATCATTCACCCAATCGCCATGAAAACTTGGGAAGCTGTTGAGTACAGCCCCGCAAAGGTTTCTGTCATAGGCCTAACATTTGTACATATTTGAGTGGGGACTCCTAACGGAAATATGTGATTTAGCGCCCCGTGATCCTGCATAAGCGGATGAGGTTACTACTTGAATACAACTGCCGTCAGTGTCATCCTGAGCGCATCACATATGAGCAAGTTGGCCCCCACAGACAGTCGTTTAAAAGTTCCCACAACACTAGGAATAAGTCTCGCTACTACACTCGATGACTAAATCTAATTAGGTCTCGCACCAATGTTTCTTCCAGGGTAGACTGTTTTCGGGGGAGGGGAGGGGGGGGGAGCTCTGCCGGAAGAAACAATGTGTCACACCCATCACCCGTGCAGTAATGTAACCGGTAGCTCCAAGAGCCCCGTGACTCCCCTGACACCTGGGCCGTCGCCGAGGGATTTACAGCATGCCTTGGCGTGTCTAGTTGGTAGTGTGGACAAACCCACGCCCTAAGATCCAAGAAATGAACTGCCGACATTGTTAACATTTAATTCAACTTCTGGAAATCAGGGCACACAGTTAGTAACGTTTTGATGAAAGCCTCAGTTTGGTGTGTTGGACTAGATTGAGAAAGGGGCCAGCTCGTGTGTTGGAAAACCTCTGATTTATTCGTGTACCAGATGGAATTTTTTTTAAATTGGGAGCGAACCTTGTTTTATATATATATATATATATATATATATATATATATATATATATATATATATATATATATATATATATATATATATATATATATATATATAGGGGCCCAAAAAAATTCTTCGGGGGGGGGGGGGGGGGGCTTTTTTTCTAGTTCCGCCACTGATACACATGACATGTTGTTGTGATTAGATTTAATTGAATTTTTTTTTTTCAAAACCCGATCAGGCCAGAAATGAGTATCCTATGTTCGTATTGTGTGTTTATATATATATATATATATATATATATATATATATATATATATATATATATATATATATATATATATATATATATATATATATATGGGGGGCCCAAAAAAATTTTTTGCGGGGTGGCCCATTTTTTCTAGTTCCGCCACTGGTTTTTATACTTGTTTTACCCTCCAATTTTTTAGTCACTATATGTTACAAAATACCGTCGGTATTCAAGTTTAAAAAAAAAACAATCACATTTTTGAAAAAAAATTCCGTTTGTTCGCAATAGTTTGAATTTTATAATAGCTGCCTTTTTAAAAAATTATTTTGCGCGCTGCGCGACCACTCCTTCCCTCTTCCCACCATCATCAACAACAGCAACAACATAGCCAAAGTTTAATTCCTTATTGAATAGTGCTTCTTAGAACCTGAATAATTCATCAACAAGTGAGTACCTTCAATGCTACAGTGCTATCAATTTGAGAAAGTATTAATTTTCTTGAGGTAGGAATAAAATCGGGATAAGTTAAAAGTTGGACATAAATTGTTGATGTTTTAGTATTGATGATACTAAGCGTTGCATATGATACGTTGATATTGAAAGTTGAGGGTGGTAAGTTTTGTATGTTGATGTTGGTAGTTAGTGACACTAATTTAAAAGAGTTTACAGTGTCAGAAATAGTTAGTCACATTCACAAACTTTCATGATTGGTTTAACTGTTGCAGCTCCACTGAACTCCCACCTGGGTTAAGCTCCAAAAGTTTAACAACTCACCTGGGTTTAGCTCCAACAGTTAAACAACTCACCTGGGTTAAGCTCCAACAGTTGAGCAACTCACCTGGGTTAAGCTCCAACAGTTAAACAACTCACCTGGGTTAAGCTCCAACAGTTGAGCAACTCACCTGGGTTAAGCTCCAACAGTTGAGCAACTCACCTGGGTTAAGCTCCAACAGTTAAACAACTCACCTGGGTTAAGCTCCAACAACACCTCCACGACGTTCACGTGACCTTTGAAGGCCGCCAGATGTAGCGCCGTCTGCCCCTGATTGTTCCTGGCGTACAGACGGGTGGGGTCCGTCTTGATGATCCGGGCAACTTCCTTGGCGTTTCCATTCTGTGCGCACTGGGGGCAGGGGAAACAAAAAGTCTTAGTTTACAGTGACTCTAGAGAGTGGACTTTTAAAAAACAAATAGGAATTAATATGCGGGCAACCACTTTGACGTTTTCATTCTGTGCGCAATGGGGGCACTAAAATTAAACAACTGAGCTTAGAGAGTAAACGTTTTGATTTTCTAAACAGTCAAGCCATGCTTTGAATGTACATGGAAGAGATCGTTAACAGCTGTTATGCAATAAGATGGGAATTATTACAAAATACACGTGGAAACTTAACGGTATAGAGGATCGTCATCTTGGGACAGTGATGGTTCCACAATACGAAGATATTCCTCACTAAAACAAGAATCAAGAAACATGTAAGAGAAGGCAAAACATCCAACCCTGTCTGTCAGGTGCTTTTTTTTGGCAAAGGGAGAGGGGAATACGATTTATTCTACTTAGTAAGGTTTACAGTTTCATTTTTTAACCTAAAAGGGACGACACACAAATATTGTTTATGGTATTGGTTTTCACAAAATCTGAGAAGGCCTGAATCTGCAGGGGTAGTGACGTCATTGTCGACTTGAAAACATCTGATTAAGACCACGTGGTACACGGGGTAGGATGGAGTATTCGAGTACTGACATCATGTCAACATTCAGAGATGTACTCACACTCTTCATTATGTATGCTGACATGATGTTAACATCAGTATTTATGATCGCATTATGATGTTATCATCACTATGTATGCTGACATTATGATGTTATCATCACTATGTATGCTCCCATAATGTTGTGAATCTCCCTATATCAACGACTAACTTTGGCAGCATTATTTTTTTATTCCCTGAGTCAGTTGGACACAGTAAACACACATGAGACAACACTGACATGCCCGAAAAACAGCAAGGGTACTTTAGCTGTTTACAATCAGATCGATCAAGTCACGTGATAAGCAATCGCTCACCTCATAGTATATTCCTTGTGTAGTTGCCGTAATTTAACCAAGCGCGCGAATAAAATATTCATCACGACTGTACTTTTCTACTAAGTAATGTCGACACAAATTAAAAACATTGCTAGTCTTAATAGTTTTAAAATTTACTAACAGGTATACAAAACTAAAAAATAATAATATTTTATCTCTATTTAAAACAATACAAGGGACTTTGGGCACATTTGTTTAAATATTTCTTCTTTTGATGTGTAATTTTTTAAAACCAATTTGATTTTTTTTTAGCTAGAACTAAATGTCATAGAAATAGTAAATTACTACTAGATGACACTTTCTCATGTCTGGTCTGATATGTGTATTTGTGACCGTATGGCAGTGCCTGTATGTTTGTGACTGTATGTTTATATGTACACTAAGTTAAGGAAACACACGTCACAGTAATATAGTCCCTATCTCATAACTACAGGGTTACTGTCCATGACCGAAGCACTTGCTCACACAAAGGTCAACACACAAAGGTCAACACACAAAGGTCAACACACAAAGGTCAACACACTAACACCAACCAACCGGAAAAAGGTCTTTAAACAAGAGCACGGGGCTCCCAGCCCTCGGTTTCTCGAACAAACTCAGCCCCTCGTCGTGCACGACATGAGCCACACAGTTCTGGAACCGGGTCAGTCTCGGTGACCCGTCCGGCAGACTGGTGAAGTCAGAGACCAGGATTTTTCTGGAACTTGACCTCTGGCGACTGGCTCGCGAGGAAAACATTTCCTTCAGAGATGTCAACATGGCGGAACTTCTAGAAACTTCCATCCATCGCGTGCACGTTAGTTAAAGTTAAATAGCAGGAAAACACACAAGTTATCTGTTGCGAACCACACACACACACAATATATATATATATATATATATATATATATATATATATATATATATATATATATATATATATATAGCTGATCTCGAAGTAAATATTACAAACAAGGTCCACCTGAAGTATTTATCAATCTGGAACTAAAGTTGAAATACACCAGCACTAAAAAATAACCCTACTTTCACTACCAAAACAACACAAATCAAAACTACTTTCACCAACAACACTAATTAAAGCTACTTTAACTTTCACCAACAACACTAATTAAAACTACTTTACCACCACCACAACACTAATTAAAACTACTTTAACTACCACCACAACACTAATTAAAACTACTTTAACTACCACCACAACACTAATTAATACTACGTTCACAAGAATTATCAACACTAATTAATACTACTTTCAATACCAACACCAATTAAAACTAATTTAACTACTACCACAACACTAATTAAAACTACTTTAACTACCACCACAACACTAATTAATACTACGATCACTACCTACACTAATTAAAACTACTTTCACTACCACCACAACACTAATTAATACTACTTTACCACCACAACACTAATTAATACTACGTTGACTACCTACACTAATTAAAACTACGATCACTACCTACACTAATTAAAACTACTTTCACTGGCGGATGAACACATAGCCACACAACAGACCGACTGTTCACAGATCAATTAACACCACCCAATAACAATATTCACCCGAAGGTCCCGGATGCAGAAATATGCAAAGCCATTGTTTGTGTCCGGCCCATGGTACTAGCTTGGTAATCTAGAAAAGTGGGCGGTATCGATTTCTATGGTATATACATAATAAGTATCGATATGCATTTTTTTTTTAAATGTGGATTCTATTTAAATTTAAAGAAACCGTTCAAAATTAAGCTTGGCTATTGAAATAAATACGAAATACAAGGTGTGATTAGGATTCGATCTGGCAATGTAACGTAGCGTAGTCGACACCAAGTCCTACAACCCCGCCCATTTCCGTTGATGCCGAATGAAAAGGGGCGGCAGAAAAAAATTCCTATTACATCTCGAGTTTACGGTCAACATTAGCAGACGATTCATGAAACGCTGGTGTATCATCCTGTGTCAACAGATTGCACATTCCCGCTTGAATGTTTGAGGATTATCACGTGACTCGAGTTGTTTTCACGTACGTGACATTGGAGTTATCCCCGTCATCACGGGATCATTTTGTTTTAACTTTTCAGATCTGATGTCCGTCCACTCTGTTTGCCAACAACTGAAATCAGTGCGAAAGTTAAAACCCGAAGCTATTAAATGTGTGCATCTAATTATCTGGTAACCGGCGTATATATATATATATATATATATATATATATATATATAATATATACATATTTATATATATGTGTGTATATATGTATATCTGTATATCAGTATATGTATATATGTATATATGTATATATGTATATATGTATATATGTATATATGTATATATGTATATATGTATATATGTATATATGTATATATGTATATATGTATATATGTATATATGTATATATGTATATATGTATATATGTATATATGTATATATGTATATATGTATATATGTATATATGTATATATGTATATATGTATATATGTATATATGTATATATGTATATATGTATATATGTATATATGTATATATGTATATATGTATATATGTATATATGTATATATGTATATATGTATATATGTATATATATATATATATATATATATATATATATATATATATATATATATATATATATATATATATATATATATATATATATGTATATATGTATATATGTATATATGTATATATGTATATATGTATATATGTATATATGTATATATGTATATATGTATATATGTATATATATATATATATATATATATATATATATATATATATATATATATATATATATATATATATATATATATATATGTATATATATATATATATATATATATATATATATATATATATATATATATATATATATATATATATATATATATAATAAATGGCATCCGTTTCAGTGGGATCGATAACAAGTTTTCTCATACACAAAGACTGGAATAAACGCAATAACCTCTTGGCAATAGTTGCCCATAACACGTAAACAAAATCATGAAATCATCAGCGGTGATCGGGTCAACTCGCCCTGCCTCCCCCCTCCCCCAGACGGATGCCATTAACTTCATTAACTTAACATCTGACTGTTGTCATCATGACGGCCCGTCAAATGGCCAGGTCTAAAAGTCCATCCAGGTGAAATATTGATGAGGCGGGTCAACGAGAAACGACATTAATTAATACCATAATTAATACCACAAGGTCGGGCATTAGTGGTGGATGAACGTGGGAGGGGGGGGGTGTACGGAAACTGATGGGTCGTGGATAAAGACATTTGTAGATGAATATTGGGGTTATTTTGATACAGGTACGGAGTGGCCTAGCGGTAAAGCTCTAGCGCTGCTACCTGTTCGAATCCGTGTAAAAGAGCTAGTAGAAATTGCCGAGTCCACCCAGCTCTGATGGATACCTAACTCGCGTTAGGGAAGCAAAGGCGGCGGGGCATAGTGCTGGCCACATAATCCGAGGTGTTTAAAACAGATGAACTCTCCTTCATCTGCCCCATGTGTCTCGGACACCGACTAGTGAAGGGAATGATGATTTCGTCACAAAGACTAAGGGAAGGACATTTGTAAATTAGATTTTTTATTAATTTACCTTAATTATATTTTATCGTATAGGCCTAGTCTTATTCAAACAAGTTCTTATTAGCATAGTTCAATTTTCAAGGTTTCAATTATTCTAAAGATTCTCAGTGCAACACACAATCTTTTAATTGAAGACGATGTGATTTGCAACTAGATTAATGACAGTTTACTCTTACATCCTAGGCTGACTCGTCACTCACCACTTACCACTTAACACTCCTCGTATAGTTTGAACACGCCCCTGGGGTATAGTTTAGACACGCCCCTGAGGTATAGTTTGGACACGCCCCTGGGGTATAGTTTAGACACGCCCCTGAGGTATAGTTTGGACACGCCCCTAGGGTATAGTTTGGACTCGCCCCTGGGGTATAGTTTGGTTTATAGAAATTTAGACTAGACCCCCCCCCCTTATTCCCATAGACATCCATACACATCACTGTACCAGCGTATACAATAGTATACATCCACAATCCTACATCGATCCACCCAAATTTCCCGCACATACAAACGATCACGTTGATTACTAGCTTGTTTCATCAGCTGGAGGTTTTGTCCCACGTTTGGTTTAAACATGTCCAAATATTCACGCGACAGTCCCTCTGTTTTTACAAGCTTTTATTTAACTCGTCAGTCTGTCGTCAGTCTGTCTAGACCGAAACGCAGGAGTGAAAATTCGGACACTTCTACTTGACCGATACGATTGACAGTTGGCACGTGGGTCATGACATGAAGACAATGCAATCTGAAATTAAATTTGACTTAATAGGATGCCTAATTAATTTTTTATGAATTAATTAAAATTTGGACCGAATTAGTAGGCATGTCTTCCAACCACACCAAACGCGTCATCACCTTCAATAGCTGCGCCATCACGTTCGATGGCTGCATTAAAAAACCATTGCGCGCCTACTGAACGTGATGTTCAGTAGGCGCGCAATGGTTTTTAGTCATGTAACTCTATTGTAAATAAAACATGTAAAGTACTGAAAAAAAATTTCATAAAAAACGTTTTAATAACAAGCTTTTATGTAATAATGCACTAAAAAGTAGAAAATAAATTATAGACTACTATTTAAATAACTAGAAAGAAAAGCGTGGGTGTCTTCCTAAACATTAGTAAAGGTATCCAATAGATACTAAAGTGACCCACGCTTTTCTTTCTAGTTATTTAAATAGTAGTCTATAATTTATTTTCTACTTTTTAGTGCATTATTACATAAAAGCTTGTTATTAAAACGTTTTTTATGAAATTTTTTTAGTAGTCTCGTTACAGTTATTCAAAAACAGGCAGTGGCTATGGAATATATGCTACGACCTTAAAGTATCTAATTACGCTACATCACGTGATCAGCTGATTGATTTAAAAACGTTAAACACTGTACAAAATCAAATTGGTGTTCGAAGTTGATCGATCTCTAAATACAGTGTATTATGTACTAGTCCCGCTGTACCACGTCCATTGTTCCTCGTCTTATGGAGTCGAATAGCTGTAGATCTTTTCACAATACGGCTCTAGTGATTGAGACAGATAGGCCTGAGGAACAAGACGAATCATCTCCCTTGGTGAACTATCTGTAGGGTTGTCGTTCATAAATGGAAGAGCTCGATAGTCCGAATACAATTGATAGACAGGTGACCTTAGTCCGACATAGTCCTACATACAAGATTCCTACTAATCATGGAGATATACAATATGACAGTTTATATAACTTATTCGTTAATTAATATACGTTTTTGTATAAAATTGTATTCAGGTTTAAAAACAGACTGGAAATTATACCTCATTTTTGTTTTGCAAAAAGATGTAGTACCGAAACGAAACAAAATTGTCCTCAGCGGTAATGGTAATGTTACACTTCTTTGCAAAACAGAAGTTGAGAATGCAATGTACAGGCTTATGGAGGGAGATGGGGAGATGGAGAGAGGAGGGAAAATGTAGGGAAAGGCATTGAGTTGAGTCACACATCTGTCACGGAGTAAGATGTCATCCGTCTCTATGTCACGTTTTTTAAAACCATTTTACCTCCCCTCCCCTTCGTAACACAAATCGTCACAAAAATCCGAAGCCCTTACTGCCTAGGAGTTTGACGTCATTTATGGACAACCCCTAAGTGTTGGAATCTTTATCAACAGCGCTCGTAGAATAAAATGTTAGTTTTGTACTGTGTGTTTATGAACACAGTGTAACGCTGTACAATTAGCGCCAACGAGGAAAAAAATATAATTTTATACTCAACAGTTTTAAACCTACCAACATAATAAAAGCACACAAACATATTTCAACCCTAAACAGATCTGCAAATAATAGTCTCATTTTGACGTGAGCTGTGGCCAGAACAAAGTTCAACACCTGCGCTTTGCACCATGTATGACAGACATGCCACACTGCACTTAACCAACAAGTCTGACAAATCTAACCAGGGCTGTTGGTCAGCCATCTGTCCACGGTCATGTATTGTTGGTCATTTCTACACAACAACATAACGACACAGTATTAAAAAAAACACAAGGAAAATATAAGATAATTGGGTGAAAGTAGGAGTGGGACCTACATTAAATAAAGAGATAAATTAGATGGGACCTACCCCTACCGTAAGTAGCGAGATAAACTAGACGGAACCAACCTTTAAAAAGTGAGATAAACTAGACGGGACCAACCTTTAAAAAGTGAGATAAACTAGACGGAACCAACCTTTAAAAAGTGAGATAAACTAGACGGAACCAACCTTTAAAAAGTGAGATAAACTAGACGGGACCTAAATAGCGAAATAAACTAGACTGGACCTACCTTAAAAAAGTGAGATAAACTAGACGTGACCTAAAGTGAGATAAACTAGACGGGACCTACCTTAAGTAGCGAGATAAACTAGACGGGACCTACCTTAAGTAGCGAGATAAACTAGACGGAACCTAAAGTGAGATAAACTAGACGTGACCTACCATAAGTAGCGAGATAAACTAGACGTGACCTACCTTAAGTAGCGAGATAAACTAGACGGGACCTACCTTAAGTAGCGAGATAAACTAGACGGGACCTACCTTAAGTAGCGAGATAAACTAGACGGGACCTACCTTAAGTAGCGAGATAAACTAGACGGGACCTACCTTAAGTAGCGAGATAAACTAGACGGGACCTACCTTAAGTAGCGAGATAAACTAGACGTGACCTAAAGTGAGATAAACTAGACGGGACCTAAAGTGAGATAAACTAGACGGGACCTAAAGTAAGATAAACTAGACGGGACCTAAAGTAAGATAAACTAGACGTGACCTAAAGTGAGATAAACTAGACGTGACCTAAAGTGAGATAAACTAGACGTGACCTAAAGTGAGATAAACTAGACGTGACCTAAAGTGAGATAAACTAGACGTGACCTAAAGTGAGATAAACTAGACGTGACCTAAAGTGAGATAAACTAGACGTGACCTAAAGTGAGATAAACTAGACGACCTAAAGTGAGATAAACTAGACTTGACCTAAAGTGAGATAAACTAGACGTGACCTAAAGTGAGATAAACTAGACGTGACCTAAAGTGAGATAAACTAGACGTGACCTAAAGTGAGATAAACTAGACGGGGCCTACCTTAAGTAGCGAGATAAACTAGACGTGACCTAAAGTGAGATAGACCTACCTTGAAGATCCTGTTCGGGCTATCAGCTATGTAGCAGACGGGCCCAAACTCGAGGTCGTCTGTTATCAGAGAATCCCCCGGCTCAGACGTTTCGCTTTTACTCTTGGCCATTGTCCGCCATTTTCCCAAACTCCTGATCTTCGTCATCAAGTTCGCTTTGTTTTTCGCTGGCTGTCTGGCGTTGGACGACTCCAACATGGACATTGTCTCTAGTGACGCCTTCCCGTGGGGGGTGCTCAGCCCCACAACCACGTCCGACAGCGTCCTCTTGTTCGGGGTTCGAACCCCGGCCTGGTGTATGACGTCACGTTTGATCTGGTTTGACTTGGGCGTCGGCTCGGATTTGTTGGATATGATGGATATGGCGTCGGATGCGGAGCGGTGTCCGACGCCCCTGGGGTCGCCGTACCATGACTCCGACACGGGGGTGTAGGAGCCCAGGGAGGGGCGTTTGTTCTCAAGACTGTGCGCCCCGTCGTCTCCCAAGGCTATCTGCTTCTTCAGGGGACGTTTGTCCATCGTGTGTGACGCCCGTGTTGGTCTCGAGAAAGTTTAGCGTTAAACTTTGACTAAGTTAAACTACTACACAGATTTCAACACGATAGTAAGTTATAATTTAAAAAGTGACTCTACAGAGATAAGGATGAAAATACTGCACTCATTTGGCTGAACATAGAATTAACATTTCAAAGCACTAGATCGGTTAATTGCACTTTAATTAAAACGGACATGGGGAAACATGTAAACAGGGTGGAACCACTGCAAGCAAATAAAATATTTATAAAACAGTTAACTCCCCTCCGCGGTAGAAAATATTTAAAACGAGGCTTGTGCATGCGCAGAAGGATAGCTAAAAAAGCTTTCCTGTTTTATTTTGAATCGTGACGCGAAACGAAATTTGGCTATAGTTATAACATAAGGTATTTAAAATGTATTACAATTGTTTTTATTTTTAAATTGGTACTCAATTTAAAAGCTATATATTTCTAAAAAATAACAAAAATATTTCAGTACTAGATCTAATTGCCCCAAGAATAAATTGTACCCTAGCAAATTATTGTTAAAAAACACAAATGATCTAAATGTACAAACATGCAAACAGTTCCAGAAACAATTAATCTCGAGGCTGCTTTAACACGCGACGAATGAGGACAAACGTTGACACGGATGGGTCTATGTTTACCCTGACGTAGACAATCCAAACTGTGACGTAGAACACAACAACCCCCAGCAGAAAGCACCACAATCTAAACACAAATCGTCCCCACAGTGTGATCCACACTCACAATTGAAGTAATTTGAACCTGTAGACTCGACACACTGGATATCGTATGTACAAGTAAATGATAGGATCGATTCTAGTATCGAAAAACAAACTTTTGAATAGCGTAAAAGGCGATATTCAAATCTATCTAAACGACATTTTATTCACAACAGGAGAGCGATAAAAATGGAATTTCTAACTCTGGTGGTTCTACAAAAGTGTTCAAACAGCCATAAACACGATTCTTGTATAAATAGTAATCGATACCGACCGTTCACTGCGAAGAACTAATAGCACTAAACACTTGAATTCAGCGGACGTCAACAACAGTGCAGTTCTTTTTCAAAATAAAGATAGCACTTTTTAAAATATTCTGCTTCGTTAAAACGAAAAATTTAAGCGCGATTATCAAGAATTACTGTGCGTAGAAATATGAAGTATCACATTAATTGTAAGACTTCTACTCGGTGTGGTAAATAAATTCCACTGGACTAGTCAGCAATGATATGTACGTCTCCAAATTATTGAGGGTTTTACAGCAAAGGTTATAAATGGGACATCACGTGATCGGTGCACGTCACATCCGGGCATTGAATTTGACCAATCAAACAAGAGCTCGGCTGATAGCCAGCGCCGATACGTCGCGCCACAAGGCCAGACAACTTAACCAAATAACCAAATAACCACAGACCTCTAATTTTTGTGCCGCAGCAAATAGCCAGTCCACTTAACCAAATAGCCAGTCCACTTAACCAAATAACCAAATAACCAAATAACCAAATAACCAAATAACCAAATAACCAAATAACCAAATAACCAAATAACCAAATAACCAAATAACCAAATAACCAAATAACCAAATAACCAAATAACCAAATAACCAAATAACCAAATAACCAAATAACCAAATAACCAAATAACCAAATAACCAAATAACCAAATAACCAAATAACCAAATAACCAAATAACCAAATAACCAAGTAACCACAGACTTTGGTTTTTGTGTCGCGGCAAATAACCAGTCCACTTAACCAAATAACCAAATAACCACAGACCTCTAATTTTTGTGCCGCAGCAAATAACCAGTCCACTTAACCAAATAACCAAATAACCACAGACCTCTAATTTTTGTGCCGCAGCAAATAACCAGTCCACTTAACCAGGTAACCACAGACTTTGGTTTTTGTGCAGCGGCAAATAGCCAGTCCACTTAACCAAATAACCAAATAACCACAGACCTCTAATTTTTGTGCCGCAGCAAATAATCAGTCCACTTAACCAAATAACCAAATAACCACAGACCTCTAATTTTTGTGCCGCAGCAAATAACCAGTCCACTTAACCAAATAACCAAATAACCACAGACCTCTAATTTTTGTGCCGCAGCAAATAACCAGTCCACTTAACCAAATAACCAAGTAACCACAGACCTTTGGTTTTTGTGCCGCAGCAAATAGCCAGTCCATTTAACCTAATAACTAAATAACCGCAGACTTCTAAAAAAAATTTAGCCTCGGCACGTGGCCGATTCACTTAACCACTTAACCAAAATTTATTTTTTTGACGATTTTTAACAATTAATCTAAGAAATTAAAAATAAATAAAAACTACTTTAAAATATATTTTCTGAAAACGAAAAGTTCACATGCTCTGATTGTATTCTTATTAAAACAAGCTTCGTATGAATATATATCTTAATAACGGAAGTACGACAACAAACTTCAAGGTTATCATATAGGCCTCATGATTTCCCAAGTTATGTTTGGTACTCCAAAAGAGCTGAGTCCAGTACTGCTCCTAAATATGTGCTCTAAACTCCGCCTTGTAATGAAAACACTCCCAATCTCGCGAGATGAACAGTGAATGAGGCTTTCAGAGATAATTTTTTTTGGGACCTTCATTGAATTGTAGGGTCATCTTGTTTTTACTGGTCCAACATTTTGAGAAACATTCTGATACATGTTCTTGACAAAAGTAAACACTAGACCAAGTATGAAACGGTCAAACCTCAGCAAGTATGAAACGACCAAACACCATCAAGTATGAAACAAACATTACCATCTATGAAAGAGCAAACACCACGAAGTATGAAACGGTCAAACACTACCAAGTATGATACGGACAAATATCATCAAGTATGAAACGGACAAATATCACCAAGTATGATACGGACAAATATCTTCAAGTATGAAACACGCAAATATCATCAAGTATGAAACGGAAAAAAATGACGGTCTATCAGCTTGTTAAAATTTTCGGCAACAATCATTGCACTGCACATCCTAGCAGTTCTATGTTCAAACTGATAATCAACGATTTAATAACTAGAAAAGCTAACGACAAATGACACAGAATAAATCTGTAAGACTATCTGAGACATATCACAGGATCGGTTCCACCTCAGACGGCAGTTATCTCCTCCTAGTTGTGATATATGGAAGTTATATGTTGTATAGAGCTGTAGGCTGAATATGTGCTGGAGCAATACACAAACGTATGATTTTAAAACGCATCTTTTTCGAGTTGTTACATTTTATGTGAGCCACCTCGACGCACATAATTAATGGTACAAGCAATATGTTAATTTAAACCATTCGGTGAGGATCTGGTTTACATGAACTTCAACAGATCAGTGACTCTAAGATTCTAAAGAACAATCAGATTCAATGGTTGATCTATGATTAACATAACAAAAACCAGTTGGTACTTAACAATATCTTTACATAAAATATAATCAACTCGTAAATGGCTACTTTATGACATCTTTACAAAAAATCAAAACAGTTGGTGTCAATGGCCACTTTATGATGTCTTTACAAAAATAAAATCAGTTCGTCAATTGCTACTTTATGATATCTTTACAAAAAATCAAATCAGTTGGCGTCAATTGCTACTTTATAATATCTTTACAAAAATAAAATCAATTAGTCAATTGCTACTTTATGATATCTTTACAAAAAAATCAAATCAGTTGGTGTCAATGGCTACTTTATGATATCTCTTAAAAAATGACTTTATGGCGATGAACATGAACCGTTAATTCATCGTTGACAGGGGTAAAGGTCACAGCGATGCCAGCCACGTTTGATAAGAATCTGGCCAGTTTTATGTCTTGTTTGCCAGTTAATATTGACCAAGCCATTTGGTCGGGAAGTTGCCGGCCAAAAATTATCATTGATTGCTGGTGCTATTTGACCACAATCGTTTGCTAATACGCGGGGCATCATCTCGTGGAAGATTTCGCTTCACGCTGAGTTTGATAGCTGGTACAGATTTAATATATGATACAAAATTGATAACTGATTCATTTTTTTATATTCTGATACAAATTTGATATCCGATAGAAATTTTGTATCTGATACAAATTTAATGCAAATTTGATATTTGACACTGAACATGATTTTTAAAAGTCTTGTCAAGAAACTTTAGTAGACATTGTAATAAATAATATGCCTCGCCGAATAACTCGTAAATACCACTAATAACCGTTCGCAGACAAAAGTCTTAAAAAGAATATTACATCAGTCAAATGTCGAACAAAGCACTTTACAGAAGCCAAGAGTCCTACAAAGAATATCATATCAGGCGAAAATCTTACAGAGAACTTGATATGAGACCAAAGTCTTAGAAAGAATATTGTCTTATGCCGCATTAGCCGGACATGTCTTAAATTTGTTTCGTTTAAAATGAAATTTAAATTGAAGTTATTTATGTACAGAGTTTGAATAGAAATTCTATAAAGCCAAAACCCCTGGGGATAGGATCTGTAAACTTGTCTGTTTCTTAATGTGGTTGGGTTATCTTCAGATGTGTTGAAGTGGCTGGTGAATGTGGTATCTGTATCTGTATCTGGATTAGTGCAGTCCACTATCCACACTAGTCGGTGGTAATCACTTGGATATCACGTGACATGCGTGTAACCCAAGGTCAAGGCTACCAGGTGCGGCACTATTCTTAGATCGTTTTGAATAAATGAACCGTTTTACAACTTTACGATTAATGGAATGACGTGGCGAAATCTACTGGGTTCCATGACTCGGCGTTTTTTGTCATGTTTAGATTTGGAGTCAAATGCAAGATATCAACTAATGTTGCTGGCGTCTGATGCAAGAATTTGGTTTATTTTGGTTTCTGATGCAAGAGTTGATAAGTTATTTTTTTGGAAGTCTGATGCAAGATTTCGTTTGTTAATTTGACGTCTGATGCAAGATTTAGTTTATTATTTTGGCGTTTGATGCAAGATCGGAAGTTGCAAGAAACATATGACGCGTGTTTAAAATAAAGGGTTAAATTTGTAAATTTTGAGCCCATTATGATTGCAGACATAAAAGGAAAACACTTCTTTTACTATTGCAATTTCTTTTACAAATGTGCCAGGTGCAGTGTTTTAAACTGTACGGGTGTGTGACTTACACGTGAGCGATGTGGGGGATTGAAGTGTGTGGTGGTGGGGTGGTAGTGTTTATTCGGAATGGGGTAGTTTCTGCAACACAGATTCGAAAAATAAGAGTTAGGCGTTTACTACATTCAGCTTCAATTGAAATTACATGCATTGAAATTACATTTACATAAATAATTGGACAATCTAGCCGTGCACTAGTGAAGTCCACTAATAAGGAGGTTAAAAAGATTTGTCTGAAATTTTTTTTCTAGATAAAGCTTGTAACACGCGAATAAATGAAACGTTACTTAACTGTCGGACAATGGCGGAGGGTAATGACACGAGTTCTGTCCCATGAGACCCGATCGTGAAAACAGGGATGACAACTCGATAACTTCTGATCACGATTGATTAATTAATTGGCTGACGTCACACTGTCACGGTGTTACTAATGGACGAATGTTCTAGAAATTTTTTGAACACAAAAGATAGAGCGAGGTTGGTACCCATTAAGTGTTATCATGGCGAGTGAAACATGGAGGGGAGGGAGGGGTAGGAGAGATCAAAGCTAGAGATAATGTAATAATGAGTTAAGTGTGTGTTGACTTAACAGTGAGTACTCACGTCCAGAGATAGGGTGATGTTGTTTGATGAGCTAGGACAGACGGGGAGGGGGGGGGTTGGAATGGTGGGGAGAAAAGGTTGGTAATGTTGCTGTGATACTTGGTAATGCTGTTGTTGTTGGTTATGTTGATGTGACAGTAGATAATGTTGTTTTGGTTGTTAATGTTGCTGAGGTTGGGGGTGGTTGATGCTGCCTAGAAAGGTAGCTGATGTTGCATATGTTTTCTTGAAATGCCTGGCTATGGTGGTAGAAGTGGTCTGGTGTGGGAAGGCGGGGATAGTGTTTGTCTGGCAGAGATGACATACGTTTAGTGATAAATTTTAAAAATTAAAACGTCGGTTGTTTAAAGAGTAATACTGATCAACCTGTTACAAAGATAAAAATATACTTATTGAAACATTTGTTACACTCTGATACTTTCTAAATAAGATTTACGTTGCATTGTTGGCATATGAATATTGTTTTGTTTAAAATGTAATACTTCATAATGTGGGTGCGTGTTTTTTTTTTTTTGGTGGTTGTGTTTTTTTTCTCTTGACAACCGCTATTTCAAAATGAATGTAGTTTTTAAAGCAACTCAAACGATACACCATTAGAAGCTGACAAGAAACAATACACAAAGCGTTTTGTTTGAAGATGGAAGTGGACATATGTGTTTGGTTGAATCCTGGAATTTTCTGGCTCAACGGTTCTATAGACACAGGTCAGTGATCGTCATGCATGGATGACCAGGCTACTCCAGGGAACAATTGTTCTGAGATTAGACTTGACCTACTTGTCTTAATCACGTGATCAGCTACTAACAAAAGTACAGAGGTACCCACATAAAGTGTAGTTGACGACACAGAATCAGTGGGAAAACTCAGTCGAAAATTCACGAAACTGCTCACGAATTGGCGTTGCGTTGTACTCATTTTGTGAACATTACCGTTTGCTTTTCTTTAAAACAAAAATAATAAGCTGACGATTACTACTTGGTCTAATAAACTGAGTTTAATTTTCAAGTTTCGTTTTAACATTTAAACACAGATTGAGAAGAAGAATTCGTCTAACTAGCTGAGAGTTAACGGAACGTTAAAGTTTTTGTTACAGCGTGTTTTGGTATGAAGCGTGGAGCCCCGACAAGTTGTTGGGGACGGTGTGGTCGGGTGGTAGAGCAAAGAATGCTGACTCCAAGAGCCCCGAATTCGGACCCCGAGCAGAAGAAGAGCTAGTTAGCAGGAAACAGAAACTGATCTAGGCGAGAAAACTTGGGTGGGTGCAAATTCAGCATCAAAGCAGGCTGAAATCGGAGTCAAGGGGCAATATGGCGCATAACATTTTGACACGCAATACCTAGTTGTATTGGACCAAATTCTCTCCAATGTTACAATTGAGAATGAAGAAGTAGACAGCAGGTTGTTAAATAAATGAGATAGGCAGAGGTTACATTTCAGGTGTTGGGGGGGGGGGGGGGTGTTAGGGGAGATCAGTGTGCAAGATACCGGTCTTTCACATCAAAAGTTTTTATTTTCACCATGAACTTGCTACAAGACTTGTTTATCCACCCTTTATTTAATCAATTACATTCTTACGCCTTACGAGAAGTGGCGTCAAAAAAAAAAAACAACCCAGAAACTCAAAATGTATGTCTTTGTTCACAAGAAAATGTTTAAGGACTAGCATTAGAAAAAATGATGATTTCAAATAATATTGATTAATTTAAAGACAATCGTTTTAGTTTCATTACTGAATCAAGGGCATTAAAGCAAGATGATATAAAAAACTTGACAAAAATGAGTTATCTCCGTTGGCTGATATGAAAAAAAAAAGCTAATTCCTGACTTTTCTCCAAAACTGAGAAACGACAAATGTCGTCAGCTGTTAGCCGCGTGCTGCTACTGTAGGGCGACGTCACGACACTCGTGGTCAATCTAACCTTGAGCCATTACTGTGGCGTCACTATGTAACTGAGTGTGTCAACTCCCCTCCCCCTCCAACAATTTATCATTTTCGATTTGGTGTCACCGCTATCCCCCAATTGTTTTAATATTTTAACTCGATAAAACATTGTATTGACGGTAAATTTTGTTTCTCGGGTTGGTACCCCTCCCCTCCAACGGTATACTGTCATCCTGTACGACATCGACCCCCCCCCCCCTCCACAGGTCATTTAGCAGGTTGTTCCTGCACCATGACGTCATCGCTAGAGCTCACGTATGCTGTGCTGATGCAACCAGCTACAACAAACCGCCGCTTATAACCAGAGTCTGACGAAATCTACCAGATATGGTGTCATGTTTGTGGTAGCGTTCAACAATTTGATGATAAGGGGATTGGTAAAGTAAATAAAACGAACGCCCCTTCCGCCCCCCCCCCCCCCCATCCCAGAAAGATGCTTGAAAGAAACGCTGGTTCTCGTCTTGCTTTAGAATTTTATCAACACCAATGTATAGCTTTTATATTTAATCACATTGGGGCAGGATAATTTGCTTGAGGAATTTGCTTTAAAAACTATTTCAATTGATCAAAAAAATTTCAAATAGGACTCAAACAAATTGTAAGCAGCAATAAAATTTGCAAATAAAAGTAAAGAACATGAAGTAGTAAAAACGTATGTAGCAGAACAAATTGATGTAGCAGTAAACAGTCCTTAGCAGAAAAATTAGTATGGAGTAAACACTTAAGTAATAGTAAAAACTTTTTGTAATTTAAAAAAACGCGTGTAATCGTAAAAACTTTTTATAATTGTAAAAACTGTAATTGTAAAAACTGTAATTGTAAAAACGTGTGTAATCGTAAAAAACGTGAAAAAAACGTGTGTAAGTTTAAAAACTTGTGTAATGTAAATACTTGTGTGGCCAGTTGTAAAAATGTATGTAATACAATCATTCATTTGTGGAAGTAACCATCTGTACTTATCAGCTAGCCTGCAAGATTTACCTTGCAGAAAAATTAGTTGTAATATTTACCAAAAAAAGAAAGTTAAATATACACCAGCACGTTTTCAGTCACGTTTAAACGTCTCAATGCACCACCTACAGGGTTCTTAAGTAGGTATACCACGCATCACTGAACACACACTACGACGAGATTCCTTTCATTGAATATCTGGTCACGCATGGTGCTTTAATTAGCAGCATTGGGTGGTAACATGTGAAACAACAACAGACTTTTGTGGTAACATCCAGGTGGAATAAACAATGGAAAAACTGAGTAGCACCATAACACAGGGATAACACACCCAATAACACCATAACACAGGGATAACACACTTAATAACACCATAAACATGGGATAGCACACTCACTAAAACCATAACACAGTCCAAACACGACACAGTATCACTGCTGCGCTACATTAGGACAGCACCGCTATAAGAACACACCAACACACCACACCCGGCATTATTCCATCCAGCTAGGTCAAGCAACAAATACACACGTGTGTATAAATGACCATGAAAACAGTCTCCTTATTGTAGGAAGTTTTTCCGCGCAGACGATCAAGAAATAAACTTACATATTGTTGACATATTTTTTAAACACCAGCAAGCTTTGCCTGCCTGATAAGCCGACCGTGGTTAAAGGGAAATCCTACTCTAATGTCCCGGTGACAATCTTATTCCCGATCTAAGCTACTACAGGCAGGTAGGTGGGGGTGGGGGGACATTTTTCCCATGCAGCTGTCAAGGCGGATGTGTTGATCTAGTACAATTATGGGATATGTCGTGTGTAAATATAAACACACTCGAGACAGAGATTTGCAAGGGCTTTATGAATTGGTTCCATTACAGACAGTTTAGTATTCATAATGTAAAGGTGTCTGCCTATTATGACAATCTGTATTGATTTTGTAGCTTTACACAAATTTGCTTCTTAAATAAATATATCGAGTATTGATATTGTACTTAAATCTACTTATGATGACATACTTTTGTGTATTGATATAGTAAAATTCTGATCTTAATTATAGACTTTTGATTTAGTTTTGAGTATTGATATTGTAGGCCTACAAATCCAATTATGATGATAAAATTTTGATTATTGATCTTATAAATAGGTCTGCTTTTATTGATAGACTTTTGAGTGTTGATTTCATAGATAAATCTGCTTTTATAGATACACTTTTGAGTATTGATATTGTAGGCTTATAAGTCCAATTATGATATAATTTTGTTTATTGATTTTGTAGATAAGTCTGCTTTTATCGATACACTTTTGAGTATTAGTGTTGTACCCAAGTCTGCTATTGATGATAGACATTGACTTCAGAACTTTGAAATCTGCCCTTCACGCCAAACAGCTTGACAAATCTTGCCGTCAAAACACCCCTGTTACTGACCCCCGCGTCCTTCACCTTGTGAAATCTGTGACCTGCGAGTTCAACCAACCGTGACTAGATTCACTCAAGCATTACCAAAACGTATGCCCCACCCACCCCTTCACCCTACCTTGTAGCTTATGTTCACGGGGGCGAATGACTTATTTGACTTGTCGTCATGACTTGCAACTTATATGATTGGTGGGTTTTGTTCAGTCATGACTAGCAACTTCTTTGACGTGTTAAGTTATGACTTACAGCTTATTTAATTTAAGTCATGACTTGCAACTTATACGACTTGGTTATGACTTGCAACTTATCTTACTTGTCGGTTTTGTTAAGTTATGACTTTCATCTTATTTAATTTAAGTCATGACTTGCAACTTATTTGACTTGTTTAGCAGTGAATTACAATTTTTTTCATATTTTTAAAGTCGTAATTTATTTGAAATAAATAAAATAAATTTAAATACAAAAAAAAAGAAGAAAAAACGTAGAAAATAAAACAAACTTTCTTTGTTGTTTTTTTCCCCTCAATTAGGGGTTAAAAATTAAAATAATAAATATTTTTTAACAGTTAGTACCAGCTTTAATTTTTGTTTGCAATTTTGTTCGTCCTTCGCGATTTGCTTTAGTACCCGGTCAGTAATTTGATATGTCAAGTATAAAGGACAGTTATCTGCCCCTTTATTATCGCCCATTGTCGGCCTTTAGATAAGGAACTTCAGTGAACTTTTTACCTTTTTACTGCCGTTTCCTGACTGACCGATCGATCGCCAGTACTTAATTGTGTCACCCCCAACCCCCCCCCCCCCCCCCACACACACAGTTTTAATATTTTAAAATAATATTTAATGAATAATTTAATAAATAATTAAATTAAAATTGTATATTCATGCGTTGTCATCGGAAATATTTTTGTCTGGAATGAATAAACGAAATAGCTGCATAAAACGATATTCAAATTAGAGATACAATTTTTTCAATACAACCCACTTACCCACAGACAGATGGACAGACACTGTGAGCTTTAACAAAATGCTTATAAGAAAAATATCCAGAGAGTTGAGATAAACAAATACCAATTTATGCCGAAATTATTTTAAAAAACATACCTCTTCAACAGCACTATCTAATTCCGTGTGTACTACGTCATCGAACTTTGCTTTTTTCGTCAGAGAAGGTGAAACTTTCGCCAAATTTCTAATGAACGTCATGATAGCTCTCGATTCTCTGTTTAGCTTAGGTTTTAGTTTAGCGGAGTAGCCTGCCAATAGTTAGAAGCGCTAATCCAACCCTTCAACACAAATGTTCTTGATCTTAAATTTTGTGATTGGCTTAGATACTTTCTTTGTTTTTCACAGTTTTTGTGCTTATATTCACTAAGTCCCTATGTGATCTTAGCAGTAGGTATTTAATAACAAAATATTTTGGTCGTCTTTTAGATGTCGAAGTTAAAAGCTATTTTCACCAAGAATGGGGTCGTGCCAAATTTGACCTTGACAATCGATCAAAGCCATCTCTAAAAAAAACACAGGCAGTCGTAAATTCCCACCAAACGAAATACACTTTAGCCAATGAAAGCTGCGCGCTAAAAACTAAATCCCGGTTGTAAATAACTTAACTAGTCGTCTGCTACAGGAATCAGAGGATTCGGGCGGTGGTGGACACAATTAAGCTTGATTACACCTGCCTGGAAAATCTGGGGTGGCAGGGTATCACGTGGGTCGTTCACTTTTTGTTTGTTGGGAGGAGGGGTGGGAGGATGAAGAGGGGGGGGGGGTAATCAGCATTAGTTTAGTAAACAATGACGACAGAAAATATATTAACGAAATACAGCAAAGTGATCAAATTAGTGGAAAAAGTGTATTTTATTTGTATTTTGTTTTCAAATTTTAAGTTTGAGTATTGTGGCGTTACCTATCACCAAAACACACATACAAGTTGTTTTATGTCTTTGGCAAAGTACTTTTTCGGATAAATGTAATTTACGCAAATAAATATGTCGTTTATTTAAAAAAAAAACATTACGTGGTAATTTAGAGCTATTTTTTAAAGTTGTTTTTTTGAACACCAGTAAATGTTTTAAACTGTGACCACCCTCTTCCACTGCTAGACATATTGTCGATGCACAAAGCCAGAGTCTAGTAAACACGCAAACAAAGTGCTTTGTTAATGGAACTTCAACAAATACATTTCAATTTTCTGCCATTAAGTCACGAATCGGACAAGAATGCAAATGTTGAGTTCGTTGGAAAAGTTTACAAACACTGTAACTAGATCTGGTGGAAAAAAAATCAATCACTTTTTTTTCTTTTTAATTGATTTGATGAAACTCACACGAAAATCATCGGGTAATTTAATTAAACACGCGTCACTGTGACTCAGTTAAACAAGCGTCGTGGATGTGACTCAATTAAACAAAGCGTCACGATGACTGGACAAAATTTTGAGCACTTGGTTCTCACGATATTTTCCCAACAGAACCAGAAACAGCTATTAAAAAAAAAAAATTCCTACCCTTCAAACCACGAATTTATGGAACAACAACCATAGGGGTACCACGGCCTAGAATTTTCTATTCAATGAAGTAAAATCATAACAACACCTCAACACCTTTTAATTTTTATCAGCTCAGTACTTATGGATTGAATAACTAAGTAATACAGTAGTTTAGTTTGTTTATATGGAAAATCAAGTCTATAATTAATTATCATCTTCAATATCTATCGAGCAGTAGTTTTTTTTTTTTTACATAAGTATTTTCTCCTGAATAACATGATTGCTAAATGGAGAACAGTCTTATTACATTTTTAAAAAAAATCTTGTTTTGTTCAATAAAAATGTGTCCTAATCAAACCCTTAGATTAGCAATTTTCCAGGGGAGAGTTTTATAGCAGGCAATTAACCAGCTTATCTCCCCTTGTCAACTTTCTCTGGCATGTTGGCGTGTGGGTCGTAATGATTTGACCCGATAAAATCACTGACAATAACTCATAACCCTCATCTCGCGCAAATACTGAAATCAATCACGCCGTATCGATAATTGGCCACGATGCTGTTTAAATGAGGGGTGTAATCAGCAATCAATGAGTGAGTGGTCAAGTTTTGAGTCCGCTCACGTCTTTTGACTACAACTGGTGGTTCTCTAACTCCATTCTTTGTCTGTCAGCGGTCAATCGCAACATTTTTTCGAGAGTCACTGACACCCCTTGTGAATATATGCGTATATATATATATATATATATATATATATATATATATATATATATATATATATATATATATATATATATATGCGTTTGCTTTTGTATATTCTTTTGTGTTTGCGTTAAGTTTGTGTTTGTGTTTCCGTTTTTCTTTTCGTCTGTGTTTTGCGTTTATGTTATGTTAGCGTTTGTTTCTGTGTTTATGTTTTGTTTTTGGTTGGTTGCGGTTAGGGTTAATTAGAAAAATAATATATTTCCTAAACCCGGGCAAAGCAGGGTATATGCTGCTTAATAAACAGAGATTTCATGGTCCTCTTTATATATAGGTTTTTCCCAGAGGCCAGTGCAGGGCCTGGCCGGGACGGCTAGTGTACGTATATTTATCAGTGGCGTGCGGTCCAGGTAGATGAGACCAGAAGTCTGGCTTTGATACCCTTGTTGCTGTCTATGCAGCTACAGTGTTAGAGCTTTGTTGTCCAATGCACTAAATAATCAGATAATTTTTCTTCTAAAAATAGATAGAAATCCGTGGTTGTCCTGTCACAACTACAAACCTTAGAAAACAGATTTTTGTGTCCAGTTTGAAAGTAGTTTTTTCTATTGTGCATTTTATTTAAAATGTCAACATTGGTTGACAAGCCGCTAGATTTCTCAATTTTAATTTCAAATTTTGTAGTTAAATTTTATTTTTAAAAATTAACAAAAACGTATTGAAATTAAATTATTTGTTAGTAATCCCGAGCAGATGAGGCTCAATAGCTGTAGACAGCAACTCATCTATGAGAGACAACTCCAAAATCAAACAACTGTTGCCTTGTAGTTTGTTCTTGGTTGGACAAAGGCTATGGAACAGAGGCGTATCCAGGTTTTCGTTGTAGGGGGAGCGAAAAGAGCAAAAAAAGGCGCCGAATTTTTAAACCGTTCTATATATGTGTATTATATATATTTATATATATATATATATATATATATATATATATATATATATATATATATATATATATATATATAATTACTAGCTGTTTGTCATTACT